TTTTACCTTTTTTTTTTTTTAGTTTTTTATCTTTATCTTAAATAACCTTACATTTATTATTAATAATGCCTAATCCAAGGGGGAATTTACTCAAGTAGTCAAGTGTTTACTCTTCCTGTAATACTTGTGTAATACCGCGTGTAATAATGGGTTATTTGCTGTAATAACGCAAAAAACTCTGTAATAAGGGTAATATGCTAAATTTGAATCAGTGAAATTTTCACTGAATGAAACCAGTGGTATATACTTATAACTGGTTTTCACCAGTGAAATTCCACTGATTCAAATTTAGAGAGTGAGGTGTAATATCGCGGTAGTCGCAAGTGTACACGTTTTTAACTATAGTAATAAATTCCCCCTCGGCCTAATCCTACCTAAACCTCAAAACTTAGCTATTTAAAGCAAAAAGTAATTTAAATAAAAGAAATGGGAAATATGCAATAATCTTTATGTGGCTAGAGCTATAGAGCTATAGGCATACGAGATTTTAATAAATAAAAGTTGTATAATTCCATTCAGGTAAAATATATTGAAAAACCAGTTTGGCTCAACCAAAAAGAGGATGGTCAATGTAAATTATTTTTTCTGAGAAAATGGCGCTCTTCTCATCTCTGACAAGTTCTTTAAAAAAAAATTGCTATCAAGAGAGTATAGATTTGTAAAGAACCTATACTTCTCGCAACTTATGAGGCATTTTACGTGTAATGTCCTGAGTTAAAAAAGTGAAACTTGGGGAAATTTCTGTCCTACCTGATAGTAAAATATCCTGATCATAAAATTTTTGACTTTTTTGAAATTTTTGGGGGAGATAGAGAGGGGTCAAGTTTATCAATTTTCCCTGACACCGCCTACTATTTGAATTTTTTCTGTCTATAAATGCAATAAAAACAATTTTGGCAAGTATTCCAGTACCATCTCTCTTAATTTGAATCAGTAAAATTTCACTGGTGAAATAGCTAGAAGTCGGTTACTGAATCATTTAGTGAAATTTTCACTGAAAATCAGTCATATATCACTGATTTCCAGTGAAAATTTTACTAAATAAATCAGTCAATCTGTTTTACCCATTACGGATAATACAGATTGACTGATTCATTTAGTAACCGACTTCTAGATATTTCACCAGTAAAATTTCACTGATTCAAATTAAGAGAGATAATTCACATGAAGTTTGTCAATTCTGATTATTATTTAATTTTTTTAAATAACTGAACTCTGAACTTTTTAAATTTTTTGTTTATAGTTAAAATTAAGTGTCACTTATTGAAATGTGAATTCCAGTGTATATATATATTGATTGCGTGAATGTAGACCGAACAAGAGCAGTGCGTGAAATATTCAACCCGGAAGTTACCGAGAGAGAATGTGTATATCCGTGTGCGTGTGACACAATATATCGTTGATTATAGGCGAAAGTTTCAAATGAGAATTTCAAAAAAATGTTTTATGTAACTTATTTTTAATGAAAAAAGTATGAAATAAAAAATATTTGCGATTTATAAAAAAATCTTTTCACTGATATATATATATATATATATATATATATATACTAGAGGGGCTACGCCCCCCTGCGCGCTTCGCGCGCCAACCCCCCTATTTTTGGCGGGAAATACAGAGAGAGATGAGGGAAGGGGGAAGGACTTGCGGCTATATTCAGACCCTTGAAACGAACATAACCTCAAAATTTAGGTCATTTTTGATGGAGGAGGTGAAATGAGAGGAGGGAGGGGGACTTGCGGCTATATTCACAGCCTTGAAACGAACATAACCTCAAAATTAGGTCATTTCTGGCGGGGGAGGGGACTTGCGGCTATATTCAGAGTCTTGAAACGAACATAACCTCAAAATTTAGGTCATTTTTGACGGAGGAGGGGAAATGAGAGGAAGGAGGCGAACTTGCGGCAAAATTCAGAGCCTTGAAACGAACATAACCTCAAAATTTAGGAGGGGGGACTCCCCCCTCCTAGGTCAAGAATTCTTGAAACAGCGGCGGCGGCGGAGGCGGCGGCGGCGATATCTTTTTGTAATATAGGAAGATATATATATATATATATAATAGTATGTCGTCATTGGGGTTAGTGTACCGTCTCTCCTTTTTTTATCAAGGTTATTCTTCTTGTTTATATGTGAATCACAGGTGCCATTTTAATGGTACTGTGAATTTCCACGAAAGTGTTTCTCTCCCCCCCCCCTTTTTTTTGTTTTAATGGTCGAAGTAATTTTCGATCTTACTGCGCTCTTAATTGGCCAATTTTGCACCTGAACATAACCTCACTTTCTCGAGAAAAAAAAGATGAAATAAAAGTATATAGCGTTAAGTACATTCATTATAGAACTTTTTTCTGTTTCACATTCTCATAATTTTTTTTTACTTTTCGTTGGCAATACTTGCATATACTTAAATAATAGAACGTGATTTGTTCGTTATTAATGAATTTATGTTGGCAATACTGACACGGATATTCTATTGGTAAAAACTAATAATCGTTCAAATTGGTGGCATTTTTTACAAAGATGACCACCTCAAATTTCCAAATTACTTGTATTGACACGTTTGTAACCAAATATCTTGTTAATTAGCGACAATTTCTTTAAACATAGCCTCAAAATTAAGGTAAATGGTTCACTATAACAATATACATATATACATATATGTAATAACTACCTACAAAAGGGAGATTGTTAAGTTAAACTTTTTCCCTATATGCAATTTTTTTTTGTAAATATAATATTCTCATGCAATTGCTAATTGGCACAAATCAAGAATGTCGACGGATTAGTTTGTTCCGGTCGTGAGCACAGATTTGCGTTAATAGGGTATGCACGACCTTCGGCTCTATATATTCTCGTCTCTATATACATATATATAAAATTCTCATCGCAAATACGAGTTCGTGAATGACGGTCGTATTCTTATGGTTGTCATGCTGTTTATATATTTTATATATGCTAACCAGAATCTCGTTTGTAAATATGCATCTATTTTCTATTCTATATAGTTTTGAAAAAATTACCTATACCAGAAAGAAAAAGAATATATTCTCGCTCGTTCATCAAATTTTATTTAATATATACTCTCTAAATCTGAATTAGTAAAAATGTTTACTAATTTGAATTAGTGACTCACTTTTTGCTACTGAATTAGTTAAAATTTACTAATTGATAGTAAAAGTTACTAATAATTAGTCAAATTTTACTAATTCAGAAGCAAAAAGTGAGTCACTAATTCAAATTAGTAAACATTTTTACTAATTCAGATTTAGAGAGTATATACTACTCCATGTCTCGCATCAATAAATTATTTTGTCTTGTAATATATAATGCGTTATGAAAATATAGTCACTTTGAAACACACTTTCTTGATGATATTTTACTTTTACTATATTTTTTAAAATTATTTTTAATTATTTTTCATGCATATATACGCAATTATATCTTTATTTAAAATACTTTTCATCCTAATTGGATAGGTACTTCCAATGGAGCAATTTTATTATTATTAGAATCGACCAGTCACATTTCATAATCATTCGATATTACGATTATGAAAATCGATTCAACTGGTTTTTGGCGCGAAATTTAAAACAACTTTGCTGTTTTATTAATAAAATATAATTTTTAATTATAACCTTTAATTTTTTAGCGTCTAAGGTTCCTTTCTTCGCATAAAATTAATTTTGAATAAAAATGATTACATAGATATTTCTGTCTTTTTTGTTTGACAACACCTGTTGCGATATTGATACAACTATATGAGGTAGTACCGTCGACCCTGATATCTCCGTCTCGCCCTGGCTACTTTCACCTGGATCTCCTCCGATGGTTACATCCGTCTACCTGGGAGAACCGTGCCCCATTTACGTTTATGATTATTCGCCGCTCTCGCATTTTTTTTTTTTTTTTTTTTTGAAAAATTTGTAAGTTTTATTTAATAAATTTTAATTGATATTCTAATTATTATTATTATTTATTTATTATTATTTTTCTTTATGAGACGTTTCTAAATTATCGAAATATTGATAACAAAAGGACCTTGAAATTCTATATGGGAAATCATCGGGCTTTTTAATAGGGTAAATGTATCAATTACGGCGATTTTTATAAAAAATTAGTAAAACTTACTATTTGAGAACAAAACTATTTCAAAATGACTAAAAATTAATCCAAATGAATATCAAAAGTTTCAATTTAACTCATACTTATATATCTATTTCATTAATATTTTTACTTAAATTTTCAATTAATTAATACATTTTTTAATAAATTAATTATTCATTGTCTTGAATTAATTAAAATAAAATTAATTGAAGTTCTCAATTATATTTATGGAAAATTATTCTTCGAATAACACTTTCGAGTGAATGTTAATTTGATGTTTTTTCGAGTATGCAACAATATATGGTGAAATGAAAACGAAGGAAAAGCGTTTCGTGACTATGTTTAGAAAAGAAAAACTTTCGTGCGTGTAAAGCCCATAAATCTTGATGTATCCTCGGGATTTGCTACGTCTGCACGTCTCTCTCTTTCTCTCTCTTGCAAGTAAAGTCACTTTCCTTACAAATGAAATCTCTATATCTTATCGATATAAGATTCACGAGATATAGTCAAGGAGATACAAGGACGATATCGCGACTTGTAATCCGACATTGCACATATAAGATTCAATCTCTCGTCCCTCTACCTCTTTTTTTTTATCTCATACAAAAAACTAGATCAGGGAAAACTTATTTTTTTCATAAGCAAAAAATGCACCTCTAGGCAAAATTGTCATTCAATAATTTTTTTTTAATAATTTAATAATTCAACAAAAAAAAAATTATAAATGTAATTTTTTCTGGACAATGAATTACAAACCTTTAATTAGTAATTTAATTATTTAAAAAAAAAAAAATTTTTTTATTGAAATTAATTATATAAACTAATATAATTAATAAATTTAAAATGTCGGATCTTTTTTCGTTTGGAATTTGAAAATTTGTTTTTGGTTTGCTTTTATGCAGAGATATGTTGACTGCATGGTTTTGGGTAGCGGAAGTGGTGCCGATGCTGAGGACTCATCTTATGATAGTGATTATGAGGCCGAAGACTCATTGGGCTCGTCATCGATTCATCCCCAATTGGAATCACAAGTTTCGTCCTCCACACATTCTGATGTGTCGCGAACAACATCCGATACTTTGGCGGCCGAATTCGCTGAATATGTCACAGTACAGGGTCCTTCTCCCACCCAAACTCCAGGTAATATATATATTTCTTTAAAAAATTTTAATCACCTACAATCGGTAACTAATCGGTCGATAAATTATATTTCCATCTTACCACATGTCGGTAATGTTGATTTCTCCTTTATCTATATGACCGATAGCTGATAGAGTATAGATATCTACATTAGCCGCATATGATGAAAATGGAAATCTACATTGCTAACTGTAGATACTTAGTCGCGGTTAAAATCGTGTTCATATTCTTATCATAGCAATGTGGAATTCTAACTGAATTCTTCTTTGCTCAGGCTACACAGCAAGAGTGGAATTTGCCTTAAAATTGGGCTACACTGAACGATTGGTTCAGGCAGCATTACATAAATTGGGTCCCGATCCAGGACAAAATGAATTATTGGCTGAGTTGATAAAGCTTGGTGCTACTTGTTCATCAAAACTTGCTGACAGTCCAGACGAGGCTGATGGTTTACTGGAGTCGACGGATTTATCAGTCGATGATTGCGGACATTCGACAATGACGATGACAACAACAACAACAATAACAAATACATCTGCTAATTTTCGACCTGTTGTCATTGATGGCAGTAATGTTGCAATGAGCCATGGTAATAAAGAAATATTCTCATGTAGGGGCATTAAAATTTGTGTCGATTGGTTTCGTGCCAGGGGACATCGTGAAATTACTGTTTTTGTACCAAAATGGCGAAAGGAAGCGTCACGACCCGATAATCCAATCACTGAACAGGAAATCCTTGGCGAATTAGAGAGGGATCGTCTCCTTGTTTTTACTCCGTCCAGGTAATATAATGACTTCTAAATTTTGTCACAATGGATTTTAATTTGTTAATGGATTTTGAAATTCCCTTTTTCAAGATTGGTGGGTGGCAAGCGAATGGTTTGCTATGATGACCGCTATATATTAAGATTGGCAGCGGAATTAGATGGGATTGTTGTCAGTAATGACAACTATAGAGATTTAGCGCAAGAGAGTCCGGAATTTCGTAAAGTCATTGAGGAACGTATACTCATGTATAGCTTTGTTAATGATCGTTTTATGCCACCTGACGATCCACTTGGAAGAAGTGGACCGACACTGGACAATTTCCTTAGGGTGGGAGCTAGAAGAACGGATCCTGCACCACCTTGTCCGTATGCCAAAGTAAGGAATTCCTTCTTCTTCTTCTTCTTCTTATCATCACCATCAATTACTTAATTTCTTCCACTTTTTCTAGAAATGCACTTACGGAAATAAGTGTAAATTTCGTCATCCCGAGCGTGGACCACATCCACATAAATCGGTAACCGAAAGACTTGTGGAGCATGCACAACGACATTTACAGGCACGTGGACCAAGTCTTAGTTTACCATTACCAGCTGTGACAACAACATCGTCGAGTGTCACTATACCACAGCATCAACCATTGTGTAAAACGAGATCATCAATTGTTCAGTCTTCCTCTTCGTCCGTCCCAAAAAGCCGCTCAGTGGAGAATGTCACCAGCGATTTGGTCTATCCAAAAGTTACTCCTGGACAGACTGTTCAAGGTAATTTTTGCGAGCAGCTAGAAGCATTTTTAGAGTTCCTAATCTTATTATCCTAAACCAAATACAAAATCCCAACAATTTTCCTTTGCAGGATATCCATCAGCCGTTGGCTGGACACAGAGAGTAACAAACTCTGAGCCAGAACCAGCAAATATGCACCGAAAGTTGCAAAGGCAGCTGACTTTGAATCCAGTCTGTGATCCGAGACTCTATCAACTACGTAGGTATCATCAGCAAAAGAGTATGACTACTTCAGCTTCTACGCAACAATCAGCAGTAATTAATTCTCCACATCCTGCGCTTCATCGACCACTAACTAGGCACACGAGCAACGATTCTGCATATCCAGTACCAATCAAGTAACTCCTCTTCTTTTTAATTAACTTATAACTATATTCAATACTTGACCTAATTATTTGCTTTCATGTTCGAATCACAAAAAAGAAATAAAAAGATCTTTCAACTTTTTTTTAACTGTGATAATACAAAATGACCAAAGATCTTGAATTTTTTAGGTTATATTTTCCGGTCACAAAATTAACAATATATGCGAGTCGCCGGAAAGTAAAACCGCACACATAAAATTCTGACGGCCATGTTAATTCAATGGGAATTTTACTTTCCGGCGACTCATATTTACATTATTTTATAAAATAGTGTAAATTTATTAACTTACAGTTGGGACCATCCGGAGCAACAGCATCATCAGCAGCATCATCTCCATCATCATCCTCATCAGCACGTGACACGAATTGCCTCAGCACCCGATTCATATCGTGCTTGGCCACCATGTGGTAATTTAGCAGCACCATTAACGCAAGTGCCACGTTTAGGTGCTTCTGATCCACAATTAAATCTCCTTCCTTCTGCCTCACCATGGGATGTAGCAACAAAAACAACACAAACCCACGATGCACGTCGTCGTTTACATTACCATTTAGCAAGCATTTTTCCCGAGGAACAAGTGCAAGCCGCCATGGCATTACATCCACATGAAACTGATGCACAACAAATATGCGCCGCCATACTCGCCATGTTTCCAAAATCATAGATTTTTATTAGAGAAAAAAACTCCCTCACCTCCCGTGTGGCAAATAATAATTACACTCGCGCTTCAAACTATACTAGACGAATCCAAAGACGTCTGCTATATATATGTGCGTTGAAAGGGATTTTTCGGTATATCCCATATCGCATACTTTTTCTCTTTCTCACTCTTCCAATTACAAATTAAGTGATGTAACATTGCGAATTCCAAAAGCGATTATTTTTCCCTTTATATCGGTATTTTAGATTTATCGATAAATCGCAGTAATATTGATGTATCGAACGTATTGATACTATAATTTTTCGATATTATATCGAATTAGTGTCGATATACTTATCGATCTATTAAGGCCAGGTCCAAGTGAAGCAGCGCCATCTACATTGAAACTAAAATTTTGGAAAATTTTCAACAGCCTTTTCTTGTAAACAAGAAGGTAAAATGCTGTTTCCATTATGGATAATTGATTATTGGCAAGATATACACCAGCTAAAACTTTTTTTGAGTTAAAATAATAAAAAAAAATTTCATGTCAATAAATTAAATATGAGGACTTTTTTCACAAAAACTATAACAGTACTTTCTCAGAAATTACAATCAAAAATGCAATTGCCATTTGGAAAATTAATAAACGCTAAAAAATACACGACCTAAGATTTACCAATCACGAAAATAACAAAAAAAAAAATTTTATTAAATATTTAACATATTGATACTGCTTTACTAATTGTGACAGCCCTTTGGTAGATTATGTATTTCAGGTGGTTAGCAACATCGCCAATTTCCTCCTTTCGGCAAAACTGCGAAACGTCTGGTGACATATATAACCTGCCAAATGGCTGTCATAATGAGTAAAATATGTTATGTTAAAATACTTTTTTTTTTTGTTATTTTCGTGATTGGTAAATCTTAGGTCGTGTATTTTTTAGCGTTTATTAATTTTCCAAATGGAAATTGCATTTTTGTTTGTAATTTCTGAGAAAGTACTGTTACAGTTTTTGTGAAAAAAGTGCTCATATTTAATTTATTGACATGAAATTTTTTTTTATTATTTTAACTCAAAAAAAGTTTTAGCTGGTGTATATCTTGCCAATAATCAATTATCCATAATGGAAAAAGCATTTTACCTTCTTGTTTACAAGAAAAGGCTGTTGAAAATTTTCCAAAATTTTAGTATCAATGTAGATGGCGCTGCTTCACTTGGACCTGGCCTTAAGTATCGAAGAATAACATCGATATTACATCACTAATTATTAACAAAATGGAAACAAACAAACAAAACTCACTCTCTGTGAGAGTATGAGACTTATTTATTGACTAATTTTGCTTCTCATTAGAACTTTTTTTTTATTAATTTAATCCATTTTTTTTTTTATATAAAAAATAAATTGTTTTATCACAAAAAATTAAATGAATTTCTTCTTCTTAATTCTTTCAATTAAGACAATTTTTTATATTTAAAAAATTGTTTGTAAAATAAAAATTATGGTTTTTTTCAAACTGAATTTTTTTTTGTAATTTCTCAAAAAAATTGTAAAATAAATTTATTATTTAAATAAAATAAATTTGCAAATAATGAAATAAAAGCAAAAACAAAAAAAAAGTTTTGATAACAATTCGAAAAATGAAATTCGAGAAGCAAATTAGGAAAGTTAAAATTGAAAGTAATCAATGTTTAAATATTGATAATTCATGATAAACCTTAGGTCAGTGAAGAAAACGCGATTATTATTGTGGGCAAACAATAATTTGTATATCCTCTTCTTCAAAAAAAAAAAGAAAGAAAAAGAAATATTTAAACAAAAAAGACAGACACATACACAACAAGAAGATAAAGTTTCAATCGATTTGGCGCGACGTCTTTCACATAAAAAAGATTTCTTTCTCTTATTGTAAATATATAGTGGAAATGACGCATTTAGTATTATCATGAAAGTGTAAACGTCGCTCAAAATAATATATTCAAGATTATAATAATATTGTACAATATTTTAGAAGATTAGTTTTCAGTTGTTCATTGAAAAACACTTTTTTTTCAAATAGAACAGATAGAAATTTGCCTTCTTTTATCTAATTAACAAATTTAAATTAGTTGATTAAAAGTTCTAATTTTTTTAAATTCTATAAAAAATATGTAATTTAACTAAAATTACATTTTTTTTTAAATAAATGAAATTTAATTAAAATTTTATTTTGCATATATGAATAATGAAAATTTGAATTTTCTTATTTTTTGTTCTTGATATTCGAGGTATTTGTTGATATTTTTTCGTTTTTTTACGCTATTCAAAGAAGAAAAGGAGGATTAATTTCTTTTTTTCTTTGCCTTAAATATATGCGCAGTTCCATAAATATTTATATTGAAAAAAAGGATGGCATTAATATTTAAAAAAAAAAAAATATCGTAATAATAATTAATAAATTTCATTAATTAACATCGCGATTATATTCTTTCACTCATAGCTAACAAATTTTTTTTGTTAGTAATTGCAAAAAAAGCATTAATTATTTTGATCTGCTCCACTGATTGAATCTCGATTAATTTAATTTTCTATATTAATTATACATTTTTTTTTTTGAATGATTATTTAGTTAGGTAAATAGTTTTGTTACCTAACAAATGTTATTTTTAATTTTAACGATTTTTTTTTATTAAAAGGATAATTTTTCATTTAAAAATAGAATATTTTAATTAAAAGAGAGTTTAAAAAATCTACTATTATTGTTTTCTTTTTCACTGGAGTCAGATCAGGGCATTAACGAATGCATTCTTAATTACAGTTTATACGAACTTATGGACCATTATTATTATTATTATTATTATTATTATTATTATTATTATTATTATTAACACACATCTGTTATAATGATTATTATATTCAAATGACTCATATTGAGTCTTTTTCATCAGGTTTTGGGATCCAAGAAAATATGAACAAATTGCCAAGAAAAAGTCTTAGGACAAGTTTTCATATTTTTTTCCCTTTGAAAAATTTTCCAATAAAAAAAAAAAATTTTTTTTAATTATTCCATAAAAAATTAGAATACAATATTCAATAAATAAACAAAATTTCAGGACATATAAATTCGAAATTATTTTTAATTTATGTAGAAAAAGGGTATATCGTAATTTTTTTAATTAAAAAAAAGTTTTGCAAACATCAAAAGGAAAAAAAAGAAAAAAAAAGTAAAGATCGATGCAAATTAGCGGCTGTGAATTACAAAAGCCTAGTTATATGAAAAAAAAAAAAATTTTGAAAAAAATATCTCGCAAACTATAAAAATAATAGTGCGATTTTATTATATAGTTTTTGTAATATGAAATTGTGATATTCATAAAAAAAAAGAAATACACTACATATCCGCAAAATTATCTCGCACAAAAAGGCTTTGAAATAAATCAGTCAGAAAGAAAAAAGAAAATAATAAATAAAAAAATAGTCATGGATTGAAAGATATTTCCTAAAAAAAAATTGAACACGATTTAATTTTTTTAGAAATATCGAAATTATTTTACTCCTATACACGTTATCATTTTCCCTATTTTTATCATTATTACTTTTATTATTTTTCAATGTGTTTCTTTTTACATTGAAAAAATTTGTTAATTTTTGCATTATCATAACATTTATTTCATACATACATACATACACATCCTCTGTTTTATTTTCTAATATTTTCTCTTTTTGTTCACTTTTGTATTATAATGTATACACACAATTTATGTTTTGACTTTTAATAACCAGTATAATCCGACTGATTAATGTTTTTTTCTTGTTTTGTAAGAGCGTTCGATTGTTCTTCCTTTTTTTTATTTTTATGATTATTTAATAATAGAAAATGTTAATCAGAATATAATATATACACGGAGGGAAATCTTGTATGATTATTGCATGAAACAAAACCGTTATGTTTCATGCAATAATCATAACAGATTTCTCTCCGTATATATAATATATATCGCATGTCAACAAAAAATCGATTTTTTAAGAAAAAGTGCAAAATTAAAAATCTTCTCTTTTCACAGTAAAAAATTAATTAATTGAGGAAATAATTAATTATAATATCAAAATTAATTTGTAAATGATCAAAGAATAAGATTTCTTTGTATCGGATATAATTTTAAAAATTAATGACTACAATTAACAATTAAATGGAAAAGAAAAATAATCCGAAAATTTCGATTTTTTGTAAATGGTGTGTGTTGTGTATTTAAAACTAAGAAAAAATGCAATACCATGTATTGTGTGTGTTATCAAAGTTTTATATATATATATATATATATATATATATATATATGTAAAACTTTCAAAGATTCCTTTTTACATGTCACACTTAATGGACAATTGTTATTTAATAATTTAATAAATAAACGGTGAAATGTGGATAAATAAACAAAAAAAATATATTAAATAATTGCTAGCGATAGACGCCGAATTAAATAATTATTACAAATAAAACAATAAAAAACAATATATATTGAATTAATAAAAAAATAAATGGAAATTATTTTTTGTTTAAATACATCATGAAAAATAACTTTTAATTTTAACATTAATCCGTATTATTTTGTTTTTATTAATATTAATATTAATTAAATTGAATAATAAGATTTATATTCTAAATTAAAACTTCAAAATTTTAAAAATGTAACACAAAAAAAAATTTATTATCTTTTTTAGAAATAAACAATTTTTTAATTTTTTCAAAAATAAAAATTAAAAGAACTTTTTATACTGAGAAACCTTTTTTAAATAAAAATTACAAGAAAAAGAGAGTAAACGAAAAAAATTCTGAATAATTTTCGATATGTTTTCTTTCCCTTTTTTTAATGTTTTAGATCTGCTTTTAAAAAAAGTAGAAAAAGTTTTTTTTCTCTTTTTTCCAAATTTTCAGTTCCATTGTCGACAGTTAAAAAATAGTCTCATATTATTATGTTAATATTATGTGAAATATTATATTATATAAATAAATAAATATATATATATGAAACAAATTTGTATCAATGTTATTGCCAGTGGATTGTGAAATAAATGTTTTTCTATTTAAATATTGTCTCTTGCTTTTTTTTAACCATTAATTAATTTAATTAAATTATTTAATAAAAAAATGAAATATAAATATAAAAATTTATTTTCTTACATGGTCTTAAATGATATTTGTTTATTCTAAATTTTTTATAATTTTAACTAAATATCGTTTAAGGCCATGCAAAAAAAGAAAAATGAAAATAAAAACGAAAAACTAGTGTAAAAAATTATTCGTCAGAAAAATAAATAATATTAATTAATATTATTAGGTATCTATCTATTATAACAGGTAGATACCTAATTACAAAAAAATTGTAAAACATTTATAGTTTTTCTGAATAAAAAATATACGTTTTTTAAATAAGAAAATTTTGTTTTTAATTTTTAAAAAATTGTAAAAATTCATTTTTGAAATGACATAACGAAAATATAAAAAATTATAAAATAAAGAAGCATAAAAATTATTATTAAAAAATTTCGTATTATTTTATAGAAAGAAACTGAAATTTCTATTTTCTAAGTTTAAATTAAAATCAATTTTCTTTTTTTTGCACATTAATTTTTTAGAATTTTATTGAAATAAGAGCGCGACTACTGGTGAAACTTTTTTCTTTTTTTTTTTTTTGCAAACATTACTTTCTACAATCGACACATTAAAATTGTTTTGTAAATGCTTCTTCTTGTCAAATACAAGAAAATTGCTAAGAATCCGAGAGGAAAATCGCATTTTTTTTTATGATAAAAGAAAAAAAAGGAAAATTTTATCCTTCGATTTTCACCTCGGAATTCATACCCATTATTATTATATTTCCATTAATTACTTACTTCTACGTTTTTTCTTTTTTCACTTTTCATGTTGTCTCGTCACACATAATAATTTTTATACCGATTCTACAATTTTTTTTTAGCTTTGTTTCCTTTTTTGTCTTTTTGGCAGCATTTGTTACCGCTATTAATTAATTTTTTAAATCTCTATTTTCTGAGAATCTTTTAAACTCTCAAAAATGAATCGAAATTTTTTTCAATAATTTCTTCAATATTGTTTTCATTTTTTTTCTGTCGTAAAAATTAAATTTAAATCAGACTATTATTATTATTATTATTATTATTAATTATTCTCATTTTTTTCCATTCTTTGTGTCCTCATTTTACTAATTTTTTTCTCTCATTCACAAAATAATAATTCATCGAGAAAAAATGGAAATTAATTGTGCGTTGTTATTAATGGAGTTTTTTGTTCACAAAATTCTCTCGTAAAAAAGAAGGTATGCTTGAGATTGAAGGACCTGATTTTCGTCCACTTCGATAACTCTGAAAAAGAAATTTTTTATATATTTTAAAAATATTTTAATTCTATTATAATATTAAATTTTATATTATCATTTAAAAGAAAAAAAGCAATTGAAAATGAATTTTATTTTTAATGAAATCTAAAATAAAATATATTTTTTCGTTAAATAAAAATTACCTTGAATCAGAAATATTATACCACCGTCCTGGAAGTGGTTCAATATTTGAACTATCTGTATTTTCTTCGCTTTTTGTTTGTTGTTGTTGTTGGGAATCATTTACATCACTTGCAAGTTTCTCCGAATCTGTCGATTCTTGTTTTGGAAGAAACGACCATCGCGGATCATTCGGAGTCAACGGTTGTCTCGTCTAAAATTTTATTAAAAACAAAAATTATTTAACATAAATAAATATAATGAAGAAAATTTCTTCTCCCTGAATTATTTTTTTTTTAATTTTGTTGTCAGTTTTTAAAAAAAAGTATTACCTTGACATAAGCGACATAATGTCCACCGTAAAGTGTTCCACTGTGTTCAACAACACCATAAAGTGAATAAACTTTTGGCTCATCATGATTTTTACAAACAGGCGCCAAATTCAATATTGTGGGAAATTTCACCGGTTTTGTTACTTTACTAAATGACATTCTTTGAGATTGAAAACGTTTTAAATGCAATATCAAGACAGCCGGAACATTTGAAATTAAATATTGTTTTGTTCTTGGTGTACGCACCATTTTACCATTTTCTTTTCCCTGAAATTAATAATTAATTTAATAATTATTATTAGTAATTGAATAATATTAATAATTTATTATGAATTAATTAATTAATAATATAATAACATTAATTTACTAGGAAAATTATAAATTTTACTGCAAAATTTATTTAATAACAATAAATTTTTTTTAAAAATAATTTGCCAATTTACAGAAATTAATTTTGACATTAATTTTATTAATTATGCTGCTAAAAGTAGAAAAATTTTGTTCTTTTTGAAAAAAATTATAAAATTTTTTATAAATAATTACCTTATTTTCCCTAGCAGTACACTCCTCACATCCAACGGCATTATTATTAGCCATTAATTCTTGTGCGGTAAATTGATTTAAACATGATTGTATGGAAAATTCTCCCTCACATGTTGTATACCGTGTGGGCGATTGATTCACATGGTGATTATTAAGCCCAGTTCGTGAAACACCTGTTTTTAATTTTTCTGCACCATTTGTATTTGAATAATTATCATTATTGGTTTTTTTCTCTATTTTTGAAATTATATTCTCATCATTCTTCGCTTCCGGTGCGTACCTTAGAAGAATAACAAAAAAATAGATTAATTAATTAGGCTGATAAAAATAGGCAACTTTTCAAATGATTTTAGGAATGGGAAAATTTTTCTTTTTAAAAAAAAATGGCAACATTATTATTATTATTATTATCACAGATTAGTAATTAATAAGCAAAATAAAAAAAGAAATTAATTTATATTATAATATAAGTGAAAAAAGGAGTAAATACTTTAACGATTCTTCCTCGTCTTCTTTTCCATTCTCCATTTTTTCATCATTCACTTCTTTCTCTTCTACTGGACTCGATGATGACAACAATGAATTTTCACTTGAATTATTAATTGAATTATTCTCCGTCATTTTTTCATTGACATTAGATGCTAATAATTGAGTTACTAATTTTTCCTCTTTCTTCGAATTTAATTCAACTCCTTGGGAATTATTATTATTATTATTGTTATTGTGATTATTCACAACAATAATGTTATTTGTTTTAATTTCTTTTTGTTGACTGTCATCGTCGTTGTCGCCATTTTCCAATGGTGGACAACCATCATCATCATCATCATCATCATCATTATTTGTAACGGTAAATGAATTGAGAGATTTTGTTGTATCGTTATTGTGTGAATTTTCAACAGGTGACAAAGGACTCACTAATGTTGATGGTTTTTCTGAACTATAACCAGATTCGAGAATTTCTTGTTGTTTTGAAAGTTGTTCAGTTCCAGATTCCGTATCAACATTATCCTCAATATCCGATTCACTTCCTGTTATGAGAAAAGAATAGAGAAATTAATTATTTCTCAAATACTTAAATTCAAAAAATATTGAAAGTAAAACAATAATTTTTTTTTCGATAAAAATATTGGAAGTAATTTTTTGAATAATAATAATAATAATAATAATTGAAAATAAATGTCTCCTACCTGAAGCCGAATAATCTTTCGTTTTTTCAGTCTTTGAATTTTCACTATCAACGAGATCATTATTAACATCGTCATTATTCTCATGAGTATTATTCTCCTCTGATATTGTTGTCTGATTATTTTTCATATTTTTTTGCTTTGTATTTCTCGATTTTCCCCAATAATTTGCCGCTCTTCTTGAGACTGATTTATATCCAGTGCTCGATGAATTATTAGTATTGCTATTGCTATTCATTAAATCAAAAGCGTCCTCAAATCCACTACTTTTTCTCCTGGAAATAAGGTATAGAAACAAATTTTATTCTGACTTTGTTACCTGTATATTAAATTTGAATTGTTTTATTTGAAAAAGAAGAAAAATTCACCTATGAGACGGCGGTTGTGGTTTATCGGCCATAACTGGTAAACTAAGATCCAAAAATGGTTCAGTTCTTGGTGATGAATGATGACATTCGAGACATTCGAGTGTTGAGACGAGAATTCCTTTAAACACTGGCTCAGGTCCCAATAATCGAGCGCTCGCTTGATGGCCATAAAATTTCAATCTCGATATTTTATCATCATCATTATTCTTTGACGACTGACCCCATAGATTGAGATTTTTCAATATTATTTGCTGATAACGCTATAGAAAAAAGGACAAACAAAATTAACAATACAAAATCACAAAATCGGAATTACATAAAAAAAAATAAAGACTCACACGAAGATCTTCACTGCGAACGTGTTCTAATAAATGTCGTAAAAGTTCGTGTGCATCATGTTGACCGCCATCCATGCATTGTGAACTTTTTTTTCGTAAAATATTCAAAAGTTCACTTGGTTTATAAGGTTCGCTGTTTGAATTTTGCATGTCGGTTAAAGTTTTTTGTAAAACCTGAGTCAAGGGGCACTCTTTGTCCAAAACACCTTCAATTGGCGGCTATAAAAATGGATAATTTTTAAAAAAATTCTAAATATTGTCCCGTTTATTGTAAAATAAATAAATAATTTAAGCTTTTTTCTCTACATTATTATTATTATTATTATTATTATTATTATTATTATTATTATTATATTTTAATAATTGCATTATTTTCTATAAATAACAAATACATTTGTTACTTTCAATTTCGAAGAATGGGAAAGTTAAAAGAAATTAGAATTAGCAAACAAAAAATGAAAAAAAAAATCACCAGTGAAATTTCTTCGGTACTTCCTGGTTTCTTGTACGCTCCACCAGGAAGAACAAAAGTTTGTCCAGGTTTTTGCATATCTTCGAGAACTTTCACCAAAAATGGAGTTTGCGCGAGACATTGGAGAACAGCATTGAAGAAACAAGTGTTACCCAAATTTGTCAGTCCCTGAAACATATTTTTTTTTATATGTTAAAAAAAATTGATTATTTTAGAAAAAAGAAATTTTCTGCAGAAAATAAATAACTTTTTTTTTTGTAAAGAATTTTAAGAAAGAAATATTTTTTTATATCTATTGAAAAAAGTACATCATTTTTTTCGTCAAATTAATCTAGTAAAAAAACAAGATGAAAAAAAAACACTTACGACAACTTTGCTGAAACCAAATAAAAATTTTGGTTTTACTTTCTTCAATTCAACTAGATTTTTTTTTTTTGATAAGTTTGGCAACATTTTTGTCGCTTTTGGTGAATTTGCCATTCTTTCTATATCACACACAACACGTGAAGCACGTATACTGAAATAAAAGAGTAAAAACAAAAATAACATTTCTCCTTTTTGGGTTCATGTTTATAACAAAAAAAGACCTATTGTAAAATTATTAATAGGTAATTACTATATTTAATAATAATAATTTAGAAAATAAATATAACAAAAATTTACCATGAATCAGGATTAATATAACTATTGCATTCATAGCACCAGAGTTTCCATTGATAAGTATCAAGAACTAAACAATGTAAACCAGTTCGTGGAACTTTAAAATGTTGAATCGCATGACTTCTATCACTGCGACCGCAAGCTTGATTTCCACATTGTAAACACATCCACATCGATGGTGGACATGGTTCAATCTAACAAATTTTTTTTTTTTTAGTTTTCTTATAGAATAATTAACAAAATTAATAATTAATAATTTATTGATTCTTAAAATTGTTTTTTCTAATTTGCATTCTTTAAAAATTACTAAATCAATTACGAAATGAAATAATTACCCCTTCCTCAACAGTTGGTGGTTTAATTTTATTCTCTTTCTCACATGTTTCACATTCTCTGTGAATTCCGAATTTATATACCGTTTTTCTTGATACACATATATTAAGAGACTTCTCACTGTGTTTACATTTTCCACCTTGAAAAAGAAAAACATCAATCCCTTTGATGCGATTAAAAAAAAAACTACTTTAAAATTATATACATTATTGTCAAAATTTATTTTTCTGATTTCACAGAAAAAATTAGTCTGCAGTGTTATGATTGAAAGTAAATAAATAAATAAATAACAAAAATTAACTAAATAAATAATGAATGAATAATAGGTACAATAAATAACTTAATTAACTAATTAAATATTTATTATAACGAATGGATACAAAATTAGCAAAACAGTAATTAATAATTTAAAAAATTTCTCAAACATACGTTTGCGTATGCGGAAAATAAACAAATAACAGAAATCGAAAATAGGTATACACGAAAAAATTTTAGAATAAAGTAAAATTTGATATTTATATTATTATTAAAATTGCATGATAATGAATTAAATATTACTAATATTTTTCTTCGTTTCAAGAAAATAAATTCACGAGACAAACGTAAAAAAAAATTTACCTGTATTCGTTCCTCCTTCAATTTTCGATCCACCGCAGGTACATTCAATATCAATTAACATCATTTTTTGTTTGTTTTTTTTTTTATTTCCGAGAAAATAATCACAATCAATACACTTTTATTACATTCGTAATTTTCCTATATTTATATATATATATATATTATATTATTATACACCGACGATATTATCTAAATCTTCCACACAAACTCTTGATAAAAAAAAATTGTTCCAAATTGACCTAACCTTAAAAAAGATACACGCGAATTATTAAAAATAAATATATACCAAGAAAAAAATAAGCCACTGTAGTCTAGAATCTACAAAAATTATATTTCTCTCTCAATGGTGGTAGTGATGATGGTAAAGAGTATAAAACCATCCGAAAAATGACAATGGAAATTTTAAGAATGAAGAAATCAATGGCGATTTTCGATTATAAAACTTATATTCAGAGACAAAAGAAATAATGTATGCGTGTATATCTTTTGTTTGTACTTTTAAAAGATGCGCGATAATGAACAACACGTTGCACTAAATTTTTCTAAGCACATTTTTCACACGATTTTTATCAAATTAACAATCTGGAAACAATTTATTTGTATTATGACAACTGAATTTCTATACACAATTATTTTCTAGAGAGAGATAATAATTCGTACTGACTAAACACACGAAAAGAAAAAGTGGACATGTGTTCTGATATTTTTTTTTAATCCACGACCAATATAAAAAATGCAGATGGGAAAAAGCAATTTACAATTTAATTATTTTATGTTGGGAAGCCTAATGTCATTTACTGTGCAGCGCCATCTGAAGCCGCGAAAATTTAAATTCACAAACTTCTTTTTGGCGTATTTAAAGTCTCTTTTCTCAAATTTCATTTTAACAATATAAAATATATATAAAATTTAATATACCTATATAATTTTAAAAAAATTCTTTTATTTCTTTTAAAAATATATTTAAGTGCCATCTGTCGAGTATTGAATAATTAACAAATCTTCGAGTTGTCTCTCTATCGCGATTTATATAATCGAAGGGTAAACGCTACTATCGAGGAGCTGAAAATCGCGGGAAACGCTTCGTGTTCCATGGGATGAAAGAAAGGAGAATCGATAAGATTTTCCATATTCAAAAAGAAAATTCAATTAAATTTTCACTGAAAATTCACTAATTTCCCGTTTTATTAATATTATAATCGTGTAATTGTCGATAATTGGCGATATAACCTCATTTTCGGGGAGCGTTTATCGTTTATATATTAATATATCAACGCACGCGAGTGTAAATAACCTCTTTTTTAATACAAGTGTCGTGTGATATATTAAAAATACAATATATAATCGTTAGTGTGGTATATTATATATAAATATACATAGGGAAAAATTGTGCGAGAAATTTAACAGTATTAAATTCAGTGAAAACAATGCAATAAAAAAAAACGAATCTCGTAATTGTTTCGGGGAGGGAAATGGAAAGTTGATATTAATATATTTGTTTTGGGAAAACATCATCGTCTACGGAAGCAATGAACTCATTTCCAACACCTGAATCATCTCCGGTTATACAATTTGATGCCATTAACAGCAATAATGCCGGGAATGAAAAGAAGAATTCAACGAAAAAAGATGAGAAGAAGAAGTTATCAAAATCATTATCACCGGGTAAAAGTACAAGTACAAATATAAGCGTCAATGGAAGAAGAAAATCACTTTTTCCCAAAGTTGTTTTGCCATTATTTCCAAAAATATCAAACAAGGTTAGTAGAACTTTTTTTCGCCAAAAAAATTATTATTATTATTATCATGTAAATTCTTTTCTTTATATTTTTTCGGTTTTATATTTTTTTGAGGTTATAAAAAGGGAAAAATTTGTCGCGATATATATGCGAGTCAATAATTAAGTGAATTTCTGGTGATTTTTAGGTTTTGTTTTGTTTTTTTTTAAACAACAATAAAAAAACACTTTAATCTGTTTTGTAAATTTAATTTGTTAAATTTTTCTTTTGTTTTTTCAGTGAACAAACTTTTTTTTGTAATGTAAATTTTGGAGAAAAAAGGAAATATTTTTTTAATTTGTTTGAAATATATACCAAAAAAATCTTTCATTTTATTTACAGAAAGCTGAAACGATTGGTGAAAAAATTGTATCAATTAGAAGAAAATCGGTATCGAAAAAAATTGATACAGATCCGGATTTTGTTCCCGATTTTTCTTCGGTAAAAAAATTGATTATTTCGATTATTATATATATTTTTTTTTTTTTTTTTTTTTGCTGAATAAAAACTAATGAAAATTTTTTAATTTTATTTTCTTTTTCATTCATAGGATGATGATAGCAGTATTGATAATTATCCAGTAAAGAAGAATTCTGAATTGGGCAAAAAATCCGATTTGAATGTAAATATATTCACATTTTGTTTTAAATTAACAATTTTTTGATTTTTATAAAAATTTAAAAAAATGAATCTTTATATTTTTAATTTCTTAGTCATCGAAGACAAGTGTGAAAAATCAAAAATCACCAAAAATACAAAAATCACCGAAAAATGTAAAAACATCAAAAATTGTTGTGGAAAAACAAAAACCAGGAAGAAAAAAGAAGGAAGCAAGTGAAAAGAAAATTATTGTCGAAATTAAAACTAATAATGATGATAATGTTGTTGCTGTACCAGCGAAAAAAATGAAATTAAATGAAAATGAAACGAATGAAATAAAAAAAGAGGAAACATCATTATCAGAAAATAATATTGAAGTTTATTGGAAAAATGGTGTAAAATGGGTGCCTGGAAAACTCGCTTGGGCACGTTTTGGAAATTTTCCCTATTGGCCTTGTGTCGTTACACTTGATCCAGAAACAATGACTTTTCATCGACTTATGGGTTCGTTTTCAAATTATTTAAACAATTTATTTAATTATTCGTGTAATTCATTTTTTTTTAATTTATACAACTTTTAACCGTTCTTTGTTTTTTTTTTTTCAATTTTTCAGCAGCGGCAAAAAAATCGATAAGACATTTAGTTCATGTACAATATTTTGGTGACAATGAACGTCACAATTGGGTGTCAGAAATGAATATGTTACCATTTACCGGTGCCGATGATTTTGAAAGATTTTTGGAAAAATTACCCGTAAGCAATAGTAATTTAGGGAAGAAAAAAATTCGTGATCTACGAATTCCATTTACCGTTAGTGCAACACTAAAGCCAAAATGGGAAATTGGAACATCGGAGGCGACGGAAATTTTAAATATCACCGATAAGGCACGCGCTTGTATTTTTGCACCAGCGCCGCCAATTCCTAAAATTCACACATTAACGCCATCAACAGTAGCAGCATCAATGAAAAAGAAACGAAAACTCTCCATCAATGAATCACAATCAATGGTACCGGCAAAAAAATCCAAACCCATTGTAAGTATTTCTTTTGTTTATCTTAAATATTTATTCTTTTATTTTTTCGTTTTTTAACATTTTCTCGAAATTAGAAGAAAATTGAAATAAAATAAAATTACGTTTTTTTTTTCAAGAATTGAATAGCCGGTGAAAATGTTTTTTAAAAATAATTTTTGTTTTTTCCCCAATTTCAGCCACGAATGACACGTTCACAAACGCCAAAATTACCAAATTACGATTCACTTCCAGCAAAATTATCAACATTACGTCGCCGAAGTGTTATTCCATCTGTAAAAACAAATCTCGATTCAAGTAAAAAAAATTCAAAACTCAACAAAAGTACCGGTGATTTAAGTAAAATTTCTTCATTCACAAAAAATTCCACTACAATTACAACAAAAACAACAATTGGTAAATTAAATGGTAACTTTAGTAAGAGTACTGGAAATTTATTAAAATTATTTGATAATCTTATAACACCAAAAGTAAATGGAAAATTAACAACAACAACAATAAAAAATGGCGAAAAATCAATTAAATTAAATGGCAAATTTTACAAGAGTTTGAAATCATCACAAGTTGACATTTTCAATGATAGTTTATCACAAACACCACCAACTCCACCATCAAGTTTATTAAACAGTTCATGGGATGATAAGAAAAATTTTGATATTGATTATGATTCAAAATTATTTGCACTTTGTGATTCTGAACTTGAAGATGAAATAAAATCAGAACGTTGGAGTGATGAAATTCATTGTCCAGAAGAAGAAGAAGAAAATGAATTTCGTAATCGTTCAATACCATCGGATGCTGATGTTGATTCTGATTTTGATAATGATGTTCTTAATAAATCAACGAAAAAACGTAAAAGTCGAAGTAAACGTGACAGTCGCCGCTCGCTCGATATTAGTCAAACAAGTAGTAAAAATAATAGTAAAACTAGTAAAAATAATGATAATAGTAAAATAAAGGACACTAGGGAAAAAGATATTAAGGATAATAAAAAAAATAGAGAAAAGAATAGCAAAGAAAAAATAGCCAGAGAAAAAGATATTAAAGAAAAACTTAAAATTAAAGACATCGATAAGAATAAAGTGAAGGAAAAAATGAAAGAAAGGAAAGAGAAGAAAGAAAATAAGGAAACAAAAGAAAGTAAGGAGAAATCTTTCAAGGATAGTAAAGAAGGAAAGGAGAAATTAAAAGAGAAAATTCAAGAAAAAGAAATTAAATACACTAAGGATATTAAAGAGAATAGTAAAGAAAATAATAGTAAAGATTTAAGTGTCAATAATGATTTTGATGATGATTTTGAAAAAGAAATCAAATGGACAAAGCCAATAAATTTATTTAAAGGAATAAAAACGGAGCGCGTGTGTCAAATTTGTGAACAAACGGGTAAATTAGTGAGATGCAAAGGACCATGTTATTCTTATTATCACTTGAAATGTGTTAAACCAGGTGATTCAAGTTCGGAACATAGTGAACATGAGGATGATAATGATAATCTTGAGGATGAAGTATTTCAGGATCTAAAGGAGATAAGAAAGAAAATTGCCGAGAAGGAAAGTTTCACGGAGAAACTCGAAGGTACATTATTTATTGATTTTTTTATTTTCCCACTCTTGAATAATATTAGTTTATTTATTCAAACATTTCATTCTTTTATTACTCGGGCGCAAATAAAGTGAAATTACTCAACATTTTTGGGTTAATTTGAGGGGGAAGAGAGTAAAACTCGTAATTTGCAATTAATTTTGATTTTCCCTCAGTTAAAACAGAAGAATCAACACCACCGCCACCGCCACCGCTTCCTCCATTGCCCGAGGATGAAACATTTAAATGTATTGATTGTCTATCGAGTGTTGCTCCCGCGTGTTTTATTTGCAATGATCGTGAAATTGATCGTTTTCGATGTTCGGCTGGTGCTTGTGGAAAATATTATCATACAAAATGTCTCAAAACTTGGCCCCAGGTTTTTATAAAACTATAGAAAAATTTTATTATAGCGAAAATTGAAAAAAAAAGTGTAACTTTCTTTCTATTTTCCGCAGTCTCAATGGCAAGGTGGACGATTAATATGCCCGTATCACATGTGTCACACATGTAACTCGGATAATCCACAAAATGGACACACGGGAAAGACAAATGAAAAATTAGTAAGATGCGTACGTTGTCCATCGTCTTATCATACATCGTCATCATGTTTGCCAGCTGGCTCTGAAATTCTCACTGGCAATCAAATTATTTGTCCAAAACATTATAAATGTCGACAAGCGCCTCTAAATGCAACATGGTGTTTTCTTTGCACTAAAGGAGGTAGTCTCATTTGTTGTGAAACATGTCCCACTTCATTTCATCCCGAATGTTTAGGTGAGAATCAATTTTTCAAAACAATAATCATTTATTAATTCTAATTTAAAAAAATTCCTTTTCTTTCTTTTTTTTTTTTTTATTTTTAGGTATAAAAGCGCCGGACGATGCATTTATGTGTGAGGACTGTGAAACAGGACGTTTACCATTGTACGGAGAAATTGTGTGGGTCAAGTTGGGTAGTTATCGATGGTGGCCATCAAAAATTTGTTTCCCCGACGAGGTACCAATAAATGTTGATGCATTAAAACATGAAACGGGAGAATTTTGTGTTATGTTTCTTGGCACAAGAAATTATTATTGGGTTCACAAAGGACGTGTTTTTCTCTATCAAGAAGGCGATGCAGTGGCAAAAAATACGGGTAAAAAAAATTCAATGGACGGCGCATTTAGACGTGCAATTCATGAGGCACAAAAATATTATCAAATTTTAAAAGAGCAAAAAGCACTTTCAACATCGGTCAAGGAGTTGGAGAAAGTACCACTTAAACCACCGTTTTATGTTAAATTAAAGGTAAGTGAAAAAACAAATTTTTCATCACCTCATTCTCCCCTTTTTTTTAAATTAGAAAGTTTGAGAATTTAATTATTCCTAATATTCTTTTTCTTTTTCTTTGAAAAATAAATAATTATCCAGGTAAATAAAGCAGTGGGAAATGTAAAAGCCGCGGAAGTTGACAGTATTGTTGCGTGCGCTTGTTCGCCAACATCGGACAATGCATGCGCTCAAGATTCGGATTGTTTGAATCGAATGCTATTATTTGAATGTAGTCAAGAAATATGTCCGGCTGGTGCAAAATGTCAAAATCAATGTTTTGCACAACGATTATATCCAGCAATGGAACCATTTCACACAGAAGGCAGAGGTTGGGGTTTAAGAGCAATTGAGCGTATAAAAGCAAATCAATTTGTCGTTGAGTATGTCGGTGAAATAATTGATGAAGCCGAATATAAACGACGATTACAACGTAAAAAGGAATTGAAAAATGAAAATTATTATTTTCTCACTATTGACACTAATCGTATGATTGACGCGGAACCAAAGGGGAATCTCAGCCGATTCATGAGTGAGTTGATAACAAAAGTTTTATTCTTCTATTATTATTAATTAAGTTTTAAGTATAATTTATTCTTTCGGCAATATAATACAAGGCAATTCTTCTCTATTATTACTTATAATTTATTGAGTAATTAATGAAATTGAAAAAAAAATTGTTTATTATTTATTCTTTATTTTAAAGATCATTCTTGCCAGCCAAATTGTGAGACGCAAAAATGGACAGTGAATGGCGATACGAGAATTGGACTTTTTGCCGTGCGTGACATTCAAGCGGGGGAAGAATTAACGTTTAATTATAATTTAGCATGCGACGGCGAGGAAAAAAAACCATGTTTATGCGGCGCTTCAAATTGCAGTGGCTTTATTGGCTTGAAAGTCACCAAAAAACGAAATAGTGCAATTCATGAGAAAAAAGTGGAGAAAATGGAGAAACCAAAAATTCCAAGAAAGTAGGAGTTTTAATTCTTTTTTTAAATCATTTCTATTCTATTACAATTCTTTACAAATAATTTATATTATAATAATTAATTATTTAAACATTGTGACAAAATATTAAAATAATAAACAAACTTTTATTTAAAATAAAAAAAATTAAGGCTTAACTAAAAATTAAATGTCATCTTCTCTTTCTACAGACCAAAGAAGGTGATTTGCAGTAATTGTCAAAAAGAAATAGTACCTGGACAAGAATTAATAAAATGCAAACAAAAAGGCTGTTCAAAGAAATATCATAAAAATTGTATCACACAAACAAATGTCGATGGAAAATTTATTTGTCCATTGCATTTATGTTTTCAATGTGGCACAACAACAACGGTTCATTGTTCTGTGTGTAAAATCGCCTTTTGTCAAGGTAAATTTGTTGAGAAAAAAATTTTTTTTTTTAGAATAGAAGAAATTTGTAAATAAGGACTTAATTTTATTATTTCTTTTAAATCATTTTTTTTGTGATACTTTCAATTTCAATTAAAAATCAAAGATAATTTGTGAATTTATTTTGTTTCATTTTTTTCAGTTCATCTAAATGATAATATGATCGAAACAAATGGATCTTTTGTATGTAAAAATCATAAAAATGGCCTAAGTCTTGTAAAATCATCATTTGAAAATGGAAAAGAAAAATTATTATTAATAGACAATTCGGAATTGGATAAATGTTCATTTACACCATCAAGTAGTTCGAGTCCCATAGTTACGAGTAAAACAATGAATTCAAAAATTCAACAGGAACAACAGACGGCCCGTGTTTCAATTGAAGAGGTAAGAAGACGGCAGTCATACATTCGTAATAAAAAATTACGAAAAAGACCTCATTCCGTTATGTTTTAATTTTTATTTTCTTTTGAGAAAACAAATCATGATTTCGATCTCTTAACATTTTAAAAAAAAAATTTCCTCATTTTTTTTGTCTCTGCTTTTAAATCTAGAATATTTTAGATTTTCTTTATGAAAAATGTTTTTTTAATATTAATTTTGTAGATTTCTTTTTAAAAAGAAAAATAGATTTTTTCAAAATTTCTTTAAAAAAAAAAAAAATTTGTTTTCAATATCAAATAGAAGAAAGTCATCCAGAACTTTTTTTTCTTCTTTTTCAAAAATTATAAGTCTCAATAAAAATAATGTGTAAATTTTGTAAACAATTAATATGATATTTTTTCTCTTAATGTATATATTTATATAAGTGCATGTAATTTAATTATATAGTTAGATATTAAATTTTAATTGATGAATTTTAATTGTTAGGAGAACTTTTTAAAAATATTTGTCGAGAGAGAGAGAATCGAGATTTTATATTCTACGTGTAAATTTTAGTATTTGAAAATATAAGTAAATTAATTTTCTTCCGGTTTTAAGCAAAATACGTCATTTGTCGAAATTTAAAAAAAAAATAAATAAATAAATAGAAAATGTAAATATAAAATAATTCTTAGTCAGTGATGCATTATTCAATGTTATTATCGATATGTACTTTTCAACAACAACAAAAAAAAAGAAAGAAGCATTCAAATTATTTTATTTTACTTAATAATAATTTTACAATTATTAAAAATAATTGTTATTACAATTATTATTAAAAATAATTAATATTACAATTATTATTAATAATATTTATTTATTTTTAAAAAGTATAAACAAATTAATTATTATGTTTAAATTTAATACATTATAGTATTATAATACAAATAAAATCTATTTTCTTTTGTAAAAATGGAATGACTTGTTCTTCTTCTTCTTCTTCTTCTTCTTCTTCTTATTTTTACTTCGAAATAATATTCTTCTTCGAGTTTTATATCAAATTATTGATACTGATATTGTGCTGCATCATTTATAATTTGTTTATTAAAAAAACAAGAAAAATAAAAAAAAAAAAATTGTAATTCAGGAGAAATTATATTTTTGGAACGAAATACATTGTAAAATTTCGTTTTTTTCTTTCTTTTTCTTCTTCTTTATTATCTTTGTGTGTGGAGGAAAAAAATAAAACGATTGCAATTTTTATGTGTTCAAATTTAAACATAATCTAATTTTTAAATTTTTTCTTTTTAATTCAGACCTTCTAATTGATTTATTCGAAAAATTTATAAATTCCTATTTATTTAAATTTATAAATATTAATAAATAAATAATTAAATTTATTTACAATATAGAGGATAAATAAATTCCAAAATTAGTAAAAAAATATTTGAAGAATATTTGATTCTTATTTTATTAGTTTTATTTTTCTTATTTCTATTTTTAACTTAAAAAAATTCTTTTTTATTAAATTCAATAATTTTTCATTTTCTTAGTAAATTTCTTTTTTTAAGTTTTAAATAAATACTTTATTTCACTTTTGCATTTTTGCAATTATTATTTGTTTTTCTTTTATTTTACTCAATTTTTATATATTTGTTACAATAATAATAAGAATTATATAATAATTTTATTGCTTTCGTTATATTTTATCAATTATTTTACTTATATTAATATTATTATTATTTGAATTGTATTCATTATTAAAATAGTTTTTTTTAAATTTGTTTGGTTTTTTTGTAAAAAAAAATCCTTTTTTCTTTATTTATTTCTTTCGATTATTTTCTATACTTTATTTTATTTTTCTATGTGAAGTCTATTTTTGTCGATAAGAATTTTCGTTTTACGAATGTATAAAAAAAAACAAAAAAACAAAACCCCGTAGGTTCATCTATGCTGTGAAGAATATGAGGAAACACTCACTGAAGATACAGACGATGCCGAAGAATTGGATAATCATGACGACAACAATAAATCAAATTCAATGCGACGACGAAGATCACGAAGAATTAGTCAAAAACTCGATGCCCTTAAATCTCTAAATTCGGAACAATTACTAGCAATAATTGGGGGTGGTGTTTAGAAATTTATTATTATTTTTTTTAATTATTTTTTTTTATTAGTTTAAAGAGAGACATTTCCGAAAACTAAAAAAAAAGAGAAAAATCTTTGTATATTTTTTTATAAAATGAAAAAATGTGTAAAAAATTAAGGAATTTTTTTCTTTTTTTTTTAATAATACATTTCTTGTTATTATTCTTCGGGGAAAAAAGAAAAAAATGGTTTATAAAAAAGGAAACTAAAAATATGAGCCGCGCATAAAATTTGTACGGCCGTACAAATTTTATCGTCCTTTTACCTTCCGGCGGCTCACATATTCATGAAATGAAAAAAAAATTTGTACAAATAAGGAAAAAAAGTTATTTCAGAAATGTCTCCTTTAATTTGATTATATTATTATAGTTATTATACACATAGAAGTTTTTTTAAAAAAGAAAGAAAATGTCCAATTTTCTCTCTTTGGAAAGAGAAAATTTTTTTTCGTTTTTATTTCGAAACTGAAAATCTAATAAAATATTTGAAGAATTTGTTTTTTATGAACTTTTTTTTGGACAATGACTTTTTTTGTAAACAATGAGCGTGAAATGAATTATTCACTTGTTTCCCTTTTGCATAATTTTTTTTTTGATTTTCACATTCAATGAAAATGAAAAAAAAGAAATAATGAACTTGTATATTTGCCAAAGTATTTTACACATCCATAAGCAAATGTCAATTCTTGTAAATTGCTTCATTTCTACGTTTTAAGAAAAAAGAAAGAGAAAACAAAGAGTGTAAAAATGGAACAAAAAATGATTGTGAATGATATTTGGCAACAATTTTTAAAAAATTGACAGCCAATTATTTTGTTTGTATTTTTTTTTTTTTTTGATAAGAAAAAAAGACGTTTAAATTTGTTAAATTTAAGGAATATTATTTTTAAGTCGTCTTTGTACAATAAAAAAAAGAAAGAGTGAGAAGAAAATTTTTGTGATTCTTTATTAATCGACGACGAATATCATGTAATGATTTAAATACTGAATAAATTATTGAAATTCAGAAAATAAAAATAATGGTTTTATTTTTAAATTAATACTTTATTAAAAAAAAAAAATGTTTATTTTTATTGTTTCGTTTTCTTTTTTCTTTCAGTGTGAAAAAGTTTAAAAATTAAAAGGGATTTAAAGAAAATAATCTTTAAAACGATTGTAACAAGATTTATTTTGCGAAAAAATTTTCACTAGAAATACAAAATCCAAATAAAAAAAATTTATCATACAATTTTTTTGGGGATTTTTACAAGAGGAAAAAAATTAAATATGTAATAAATCCTGTCTAAAAATTTATATCTATTTTTTTTATTTTTTATTTATTTTACCTATAAAAATATTAATTCAAAGTTTTTCAAAAAAAAAAACAATTTTTCGTTAATTTAAAAAATTTTTAATTTGTAACTTTCTTGTTTTTCTTTTTTAATTTAAACTTTTCTCCAAAAAAATTGTTTGTTAGTTTTATATTTATTTCTTATTTTTTTTTAAATTAGAACTTTTTAAAAAATTTATAAAATTTAAGAACATTTTGCACGAAAAGTTAGAAATGAAAATTTTTTTTTCAATTATTGAAAGTTAATTGTTTAATAATAATAAATTAATTGAAATATTTTTAGTTGTCTTTGAATTAATATTTGTTTCTGCCATCAAAATTATTTTTTTTTTTATGAAACTTGAAGGCAGATAAATCACACTTATAATTAATTATTACATAATAATTAGAATTAAAAATAACAAAAAAATTCGTTTCGAAAATGAAACATTTCATTTTTTATAAATGATTCGCTATATTTATATGTAAAAAATCTTTTCAATAACATTATGCCTCGTTTTTTCAAAAAAAAATTTTTTTTCTTTCTAAATATGACTTAAAAAAAAATGGTTTTTATTATATATTAAAACACAGTTATATATTAAAAACAATACATATACATTGAGATTCAATTATTTACAGAAAAGAAAACAAGTTGAAAAAAAAACAATTTTCCAAAATTTCCAGTTAATAAATTTACATTTGTTTTCACAATTTCGAGATACAATTAAAATAAAGAAAAATGAAAAAAATAATAATATGAAACAATGGCAATGAATTCTAGGATTTTTTTTTGTAAAAAAAAATGCAATAAAATTTATTCTTAACAGATTTAAAAAAATTCCTTTTTTTTTACTGAAGCAAATGTTTTTTTTTCTTTTTTTCTAGTTTTTTTTTTGGTAAAGTGCTCACGAGTTGTGGAAATTTATTTCGGATTTTCAATAAATAATAATCGTTTTCGCCCCCTCGATTGTTAAAAATAATCAAATAATTTTTTTGATTTGTATTAATATAATTTCCATGAATTGTTAATAAAAAAATATTTGAATAAAATTAATAAAAAACTGAATAAAATTAATAATTTATACGAATTGTTAAAAAAAAACTTGAATAAAATTAATAATTTTCACGAATTATTAATAAAAGACTTGAATAAAATTAATAATTTACACGAATTGTTAATTATAAAAAAAAAATTTGTGAATAAAATTAATAATAATTTACACAAATAATAATTACTTTTTTTTTCTTCTTTCCTAAACTTTACGTTCAGTGTTGTAATTTTGATAAAGTTTTGGACTATCCTGAAGCGATGAACTCGCTGTTGAATTACTATTTGATATTGGACTTTCAACTGGATTTGAAGTAATTGAAATTGTTTCGTCCTGATTTTGTGGAGTAAATCGTTTTCTTAGAACTGGCGGGACAAATCTTTGACCTGCTGCCAAATCTCTTTTCGGTGCAAATGTCTGGAAGAGAGAAAAAAATAACCTTTTTATCTGACAGAGAGAGAGAGAGAGAATTTTTTTGGGAGAGTAAATAAAGATAATAATAATAAATAATAATAATAATTTTTTGAATATAGAAACCTTGGGTCTAGAAGAAGGCAAAGTGGCACCAGTGACAAGGCCCAAAATACTAGCGGCAAGTCCACTAAGTTGAACAGCGGCCATTGGCGATAAACCCCTTCGAACTATTCCTAAAGCCAAAAAGGCAGCTTGTGCTAAAACTGGTGCGGCACCAGCCGCGTTTGCCGCGGCGCCGGCCAATTGTCCACCGCCGACGCTCGGCCCATAAGCAAAACACAAATTGTGTCTGTCTACCTGTTTAAAAAAAAAAAAAAAAATTCTTTTCTAAGATCACACACTTTAATAATAAAAAAATAATTATTTTTTCCTTTTTTTTAAATTGAAATAGAAAAAACTTACCAAATGCTTAATGAGCAAATAGAGTAGACCAAAAGGCGTGATGAGAGGACAAGCGAGACTATAAAATGTTGTCATAGTGAAAACAAGAAGTAACCATGCATAATGTGCGCCCAATGGAAATTCCCAAAGAACAGCTTTTCTCACATAAATCCTTTCGGCACGACTTCTCGCCATACATAATCTAAATGTATAAAGTGCAAGTTCGGGAAATCTCACAAGTTCCAATGCACAACCAACTAAAGCCGATGTTATCACATAATTCACGAAAAAAGCCCCCTTTAATTAAAAATCATTTACAAAAAATTAATTCAATATTATATATTATATTGATATTATATATTCGAATTTAAATTAATTACCTGATCGGGCAAAAATATACATTGCCATCGCATTGTATCATTTCCATTGTGAACCCACTCAAAGGCAGCTTCCAAACTTGTGAGACCGAGACTTGGCAATATAAGAAATGCCAATAACATAAGTAATAATGTTTTTTTCATTACTGAACGATTTAAAGTACTTCTTGTCCAATGTCTCACAAATGACTCACATCTTCCAACTAAAGCGGGCATTAATGCCGCGACACTTACAAGAACTACTGTCGGCAAAAATGTCGATATAACAACGCTCAAATTTTTTATTTCACCCATTATTTGTGGTTTACTTATTGCCGTCAATACGACCTATTGAGGAACAAAATCAATTATCGAAAACATTTTCATTATTTGTAATTAATGAAAATAAAAATAAATAAAAAGAAAAGGCAATGATACTCACCACGGGCGTTGTTATGAAAAAGAGTAATAATCCTAAAGCAATGTTAATTAAAAATGCATTTAAATACCAACAAGGCCTTGTGATACTTAAATTTTCCCAAAAAATATCAGAAGGAGCTGGCGCATAATTAACAATCCATTTTATTGCTGGCGATGAACGTAATTGTCGTCTCATTGTTTTTGCATCACCAGGAGTTCCTACACAAAAATTATGTCTATAAATAAATAAAAAATAACTTTTTAAAATCTGGCTAAAAAAATATAAAATTTTTCTCCCATTCACTGTGTTTATATTTTCTTTTCCTTCTCTTAATTTTTGGAAAAAAAAATTCTATTTTGAGAATTTAAAAGCAAAAAAAATTTTAAAAACGTCTTCCCTTTTTTTTTAACTTTGCAAAAAGAATGAAAAAAAAATTCCCTTTTGAAAATTTTGAAAATTTATTACCCAACGTGACAAAAGCAATTCCCAATCGTTTACTGAGAGCGACACTTTTTTCTTCCTCGACCAATGCCGTTAAACGAATTTCTTCTTTCGTGTAAAAATCTTGAGCATCAACTAATTTCTGAAATAAAAATATACCAATTTTCATGATTTTCTTTCAATAATTAATTCAAAAAAAAAAGCTTAAACATACATTTTTACAACAACATCCGACAATTTGTCCACAAGGATAAGGATACATTGTCAATGGTTCTTTTCGTTTTGCATAACTTTCACAATATAAACGTGCTTGTTCAACACAATCACGTTCAGCATCTAATATCGATAATCGTTTAATATCATAGGCAAGTGTCACATCTTCCACGGAGAATGTTGGAAAAGCTTCTCTGAAATTAAAACAAATTTTTAAAATAAATAAATAAATTTATTCAGACTAAAAGAAAACAAATTTTAATTAATTTATCAAAAAGTACCTGAAATATTGTTTGAGATTTTCAGTGTCGCATTGATGTTTTGGAATTTCTGTAATTAATAAAGTTCTCGCTGCCAATTCGCCGGCGGGTTTTGCATCTCTCACCTAAAAAAGAAATTGAAAAAAAATGTGAGTACCAAATTATTAAGAATTCTATAGTAAATTAGTAATTAAATTAATTAATATAATAATAATAATAATAATAATAATATTTATAATAAAAAAAATTTTAGGAGAAAAAAAAAATTAAATTACATATATCATTAAATATATTTCAAGATCTCGAATCATTATATTCAATTATGAAGAGATTATAATTGGTCACGTAATTATCGTGTTATTATTTTCACATTTACTTATTTTTATTATTAATATCACAATATGTGAATGTGTGTGTGTTTTTGTATTAATTTAATTTTTTTTAATCACCTGTTTCATAAATTTCCGCATGACAAATCCACCAACGGGAAGATAAGAGAGTAACAAGACTGTATAAATCCACATAAGCGATGAATCGGGTGCAAGATTTAATAATGTTGTACGACTAAATGACGCCGTATCACCAACTGGATTCCCATGATAATTAATTGGTAATGCTATGCATATTGATACCAACATCATCATTGCTGTTAATAGAATTAAATATCTCTCAAATGAGATATACAATAATCCATCTGGTCCAGCCCTCTTTAAAAATTCCTCGTCTCTAATTTTTGGAAAATTTTAATGTTTTTTTCCCCTTTTTTATACATTTTTTATTATTTTTTTAAATTTAATTAATTAAATGTTAAGAATACTTAAATTTTTTTGTTTCAAATTTCATTGTTATTTACAAAAAAATTCTTTTTAAAAATAAAAAATATAATGATAATAACAACAAAAGATCTTTCGAGATTAGAATTTATATTTACGTGACTTTGAAGGCTGTTACGATCCATGATAAAAATCCACGATCTACATGCGATAATTGTGTATTGACGGAAGTCTCAATGCAAGTCACATCATTTTCTCTGTCATTATCACCATAAAATAATTCCATCCATCTATTTTCAGTTTTGTGCAAAAGAGCAAGTCTTCCATAATTCCATGCCTTCTTACGTAAAAGGCCAAATAGTGAAACTAGAAACTATAGAAAAAAAATTCAAACCCCCCAAAAAAATTTAATTTAATTTTCCTAATAAAAAAATCACTATTTTTTTCTATTGTTAGATGTAAAAATTTAATCGTAATTAAATACACTTTTTTGTAAATAAAACCAATAAAACTCACCACAAAGCCAATGAAATTTAACAATAAATTCTCGGGAATTCCATTGTAAACATCGGTTATAATTGTATTATTTCGTCTAGGACTTGGTATACATTCTTGAGGCGATGGAGTATATGTAAATGGACTATCACTACAAAAATTACAAAAAAAAATTTCTCCTTTAAAACACACAATAGTCCTTTCTAAAAAATAGTTCAATAAAAAATCTCTCAACTTTCAAAAACCATAACCTCAAAATCCCGAAGAAAATTAATTGAAAATTCCCCTAATATATACGTACATATAAATATAAGTAAGTTTATAAATTATTTCACATAATAGAAAAATCGTTAAAAATAACAAAAAAATTATTTATAAAATTCAGGCTGTTAAAAAACAAAAACGAATTGAAAAATTACATTCAATAATGAGAAAACGAATTCTTAACAATTTTTATAAACGATTTTTCGAATATGATAAAACATGATTCTAACTTGTTGAAATTTGCAAATATTATAGGAAAATTGAAAAAAATAAGAAATGACCTCATTGAGGAAAATGTAATCAACACAATAGAGAAATAATTATATATCTGATGCGCGTTTACGAAAGAATAACAAAAAAAAAAACATCACGGAAAAAACAAAAGTAATAATTTCACTCTACTTACGTTATATTATTAAAATCAAGAGCCATTCTTGTATAATTAGAAGCACCTGTTTATTAAATAAATATAAAAATACATTGTGTTATATGAAAAAAAACATGTGTCAAATTGACACTTGATTTGACATTTTCGGAAACGACGTAACCTCCATTTCGCAATTTGCGCAGCGCCACCAAGCGGAAAAAATTCAGATTAACAAAATATTTTCCAATTTTGTTTTATTTAAAAATAAAAAAAATATAAATTGTTTATCAATACAATTAAAATACAATTTGAACAAAAGTGTAAAAATATCTAATTTTCTAAAAATTTGAATTATATCTTTTTTTCTAAACCATTTTATTTCGAATCTATCTCAATTTGAAAGAACCCGCCATAATTACAAAATTATCGTCTGCTATTTTTGTAAAAAGTTTTAATATTTTGGAATTTTAATAGGAAAATTTGAATTTATTTTGAATAAATAATACAAATAATAATAATATTAATAATAAAGTTTAACTAGATGAAATTATTTTTTGTCACAATAGGTATTAGAGGAAAAATAGGGAAATTAGTGCTTCTACGTAGTTACGTGAGGAGTATGTGTGTGTTGACAGAAATCTTTTTGTGTTCTTCATATTTTGTGATGTGAATTGAGATTTAGAATGCCAGCACGTGTGAGTAAATATATAACTCTTTATTATTTAACACTTGTTCACTTTTTTAAAATAAATATATATAATATAGAAGAATGTTTGTTTTCAAGCGATAAAATAACGAGTCCATATTTTGAGGTTATGTTTTGTGATGCGTTTTCTTCAAAACAATAACAAACCCCTCATTGTTTTGTTTTTCTCATTGTTTTACAATTTTTTTCGCAAATTATTTGTAAGCAATAATTTTTTTTTCTTTTAACATTGTGATAAATTTTTATTCTTGTGCTTTTAATAATTTTTCGTATACGTGACCTACTTATTTTGAGGTTAGCATCCTTTCTAAAATTCTCTTTTGTTTCATTATATTGCAGAATTATTGTTGCTTTCTAATTTTATTTGTATTACAATTAGATTTAGAATTTTTTAATTCTTTTTAATTTATAAATTGTCATTTTTATCAATTTTAAAGGTTTTTTTAAAATTTGTATTGCTTTCAATGTTTTTTTTCAATCTCTCTTTCTCTTAATTTGCGATATTAAAAATTCAGGTGACAGAAGTGAAATGCAAGCGTTGCAGAACAGTTATTTTCACTGAAGAAGCAACTCCACTTCTTTCTGCTCACGGAGCCGCGGAAAATAATTCAGAAAATCTTCAATGTTCCGCTAATGAATCAGAAAATTGTCTCTTTATTTCAACAGAAACTGTACCTGATTGGATTAAGGATTGCATAACTAAGGTAAAAAATTCGCCTGGAAAAAAATAAATACAATTTCCATTTTAATAATTCTTATAAATTATTTTCATTTTATATTAAATATGTAATTTGTTTTCTATATTTAAAAGGAAAATTAAACAATTTTTTCGTTTATTTTTTAATAAAAAAAAAAATTAATTTGTTTTTTGTATTTGAAAACCAAAAAAGAAAAAAAAATTATTAGGAAATTACAAAAAAATAAAATATTTAAAAATTGTTTCAAATTCTTTTTTGTAGGAATTATGGACAAAGGGAAAAATTAATTGTCTCAATTGCAAATCACGATTGGGATCATTTAATTTCGTCAATGAAATTAAATGTGATTGTGGCGAATGTTTATTGCCGCCAATAAGAATTATACGATCTAAAGTCGATAGACCTATTGATAGTCCAAGAAATTCATTTGTTTAATTGTGAGAGAAAAAGCATTTAAAAAAAAACTGTATTTTGTTTATGTCAATAAATAAATTTTCTTTAACATTAAATTCCTTTTGAGAAGGCATTTAAATTATTTAAATTTCCCGCCAGTTCTTGTTTCATTATTTAAAACACGGAACGGGAAATTTCGAACAATATAAACTATAGAAACAGAAACTAAACAGAACCAATTATTATTTTGCATTGTAAACAAAAATTTCTCCATGAAATAAACTTTGTTGTTTATATAAGAAATAAATTTCGCGATTTATAATTATTATTATTATGGCCTCGGAATTGCAATTTTTTAATTGTGTGACAAGAAAATTTCGTCATTATACAGCTTTATTTGTGCAAATATATAATATTTTTATTTAAAGAAATTAGCCAGAGATTGTAGTGTATATTTTTATAGGTTAGAAACCTTTCTAATAAATGGCGCGATGTCTTCGGAAATTCAAAATTTTGAAATTGTAAAATTAAATAAATTCGAAAGTGCATCTTATTTTATTATTTGGACATGTGCAATTTTTTATTCTATTTATCAAGTACATCTCACTGAATTTTGTAAGTAAATTATTCTTTATTATTATCATTGCAATATTTATTATTTTATTAAGTTTAGTTAAAATCAATTTTATTTAGTATAATAATAATAATAATAATCCGCTTTAGAAATAGAAATAATATTTATTTTTCACAGATTTTACTAATTATCATGATACTTATGAGGATTTTCAACCAGGTTGGTCGTGGATTGGTCGAAAAATGGACATTTCAGATAGAGAATGGAGATCGTGGATTCCATTTATGTATCAATTGATTCCATGGATTATTCTCCATCTTTTTATTGCTCAATTAATTAAACGAATTTATGTGAAATGTTCATTGGTTTGTATTTTTTTCATCGATAAAATAATTAATGACTTTTATATATATATATATATATACACATTAAAAGTGGAATATATATTGCGAGCATTCTACTTAATGTAAATTAATGATAAAATAGTAATATCAAAAATTTGAATAAAATAAAAATAAATAATTTCAGATTCTTGCCACATGGTACATATTCTCGTCAATTTTATTTTTATGGTATTACGTGGGTTTTATGGGTGTTTTACTCGCCCTGATACAACCATGCGTCGATCGTCTTTTAATTGCATTTCGTAGTAAAATTTTCGCTTGGCTTATTCATTTGGTAATATTGACATTAATTTATTATGAAAAAACATATGGTTTTATTTTTGAAAATTTACTTGGCATTGAAGAGGAAAAATATTATATGCTAACAATTGCACTTTGTTGGATACAATTGAGAAGTATTAGTTGTTGTCTCGATTGTATCAATGTCGATGAAAAAGAGGGAGAGGAAGATGGAGTGGTGGTGGCAAAAAATTTGTCTGGATTCACAAAATGTTTTCTAAAAACTACAGCTTATTGCTTATATTTACCAACATTGTTCCTCGGTCCTGTTATACTCTACAAAGATTTTTTGGAAGGTGTACGTATTATTTTCTATATCGAATTTTTTATTTATTTTTTGCCCCAAATTCACTAATTGTAATAGAAAAATTAATTTTTTTTTGCAGATTCAAAAGCCGCCGGAACTTTGGACGGCAAAGAGACTTTTGATTTTTTTTCTAAATTTATCAAGATTTATTTTTTGGCTCTATTTTACTGAATTTTCAATGCATTTTCTCTATTTTAATGCGTTGCAATTTTTCCCAGAAGTGAGTAAATTTATAAATTTTAATGATTAATAAATAAATAAAGTAATAATAAATTTTCCTACCAAAAAAAAGAGGGAAAATAGTAAATTATTCTTTTTTGTTTTTCTTATTGAAAGGTGGTAGAAGGATTGGAGCCATGGGCATTTTTTGGAATGGGCTATTGTATGGGACAATATTTTCTAAATAAATACGTAGTGATTTATGGAATTTGGAGTTTAGTGACAAAATTGGATGATATTGATGCGCCACCAAATCCAAAGTGCATTGGAAGAATACATCTTTATTCCGATATGTGGAAACATTTTGATCGTGGATTATACAAATTTTTATTGCGGTAAATTTACTTTTTTTTTACAATTTTTTCTATAAAAAGCATTTTTTTTTTTCTTAAAAAATTTGATATTGAAAAAAGAAATTTTTCTTACCTTTCTTTCACAGATACATTTACATTCCATCGTTGGGCACAACAAAAGCGGCAACAAGAAAGTTGTTTGCCTCATTTCTTTGTTTTTCATTTGTTTTTCTTTGGCATGGAATGGAACTTTTTATTTTTATATGGTCATTCTTGAATTTTTTTGGCTTAACAATTGAATATTTTGCCACTGCAATTGGTAAAACAGCGAAATATCGTGAATTAATAGGGAAAAATTTAAGTGAAAAAAATATACGACGATTGCATTGTGTTTTTGCAAGTCCATTGTTAGCAATGTCAGCAATTTCGAATTTTTATTTTTTTGCTGGTGCTGATATTGGTCATCTTTATTTTTATCGACTATTTTTTACAGGTAAAGTTTTTTCTTCTTTTTTAAAATAAATATTTACTTCTTTTTCTTTTTGAAAAATGATTAAATTTTTTCTTTTCAGATTCCTGGACGACAGTTTTATTGTTATTATTTAGTCTCTATTGTTGTTGTCACGTTTCTTTGGACGTGAAACGATTCGAGAGACTCAAAGAAACACGAACAAAAAAATTGTGAGAAAGGATTAAAAAAAAAGAACAAAAAAAGATTTTATAAGTATTTTCGTATTTTTATATGTAGTAAAATATTTAAAAAAGCAGAGATCAAAATAAAAAAATAATTTTTATTTATATTTTATTGTTACTAATAATAATTGAAATTTAAAAATTATATTTTTGCAAAAATTTAATAAATTAATAATTGAAAAATAGGCATTTAAATTTACTATATTTTTTCTTAAAAATTTAATTAATAATTGTATCTAAATATTCGAATGTAACATTTTTTTCAATTTTGCTAAATGAAGAAAATAAAGAGAAGAGAATTTTTTTGTAATCATCCAGTAATTTATTAAATTTTACAAATTACAAATTATCACCCAGCAGAAGTGAGTAAATAATTATTAATAATAATAAATATATGTCAATTAGCATATGATTCAATTTTTTAATACTTTCCTACTCGAGACGTAAAAATCCAAATTTTCAGTTTCCTTTTTCTTTTTATAATTAAACAAAAATTGTTTTCCTCTTTAAAACTAAATTTAATAAAAATATTTTTTTTTACCTTTTTAAAACTAATAATCCAGAGAAAAAACTCTTTTTCCTGTTCTATAAAACTTAATTTTATATGAAAAAAAATTATTTTAAAAATTAATTTTATACAACAAAAAAATTACTTTTTCTGCCTTCTTTTCAAAAAAGTGTTAGCCAATAAAACACTAAAAATAAAAATTCAATTAAATTAATTTTAAAAAATTTCACTTTTTCAATATTATTATTATTATTATTATTATTAAAAAAATATACGAGCTTCATTATCAAAATTTGCTCTATATATATATTTTTTTTATTTACTTTTCCCCCTTACTCTCATAATTAAGGAATGTCTAATTATTGTTACTATAAAACAGAAATTAAAAGCAAAAAAATTAAATTAAAGTAAAAAAGAAGTCGAAAAAAATTGTAAGTGGATTAGAAAAAGAAAAAAAAGAAATTTACAATTTTCACTTATTATTCGCAGAGAAAAAAAAAAGGAATATAAAATTCTCGCGTTGTTTTTTTTTTTTTTGCGTTCGTGAAGAAATGCAAAATTTTTCTTCTTTTTACATTTGCGGCAATTGATCGATCGGTGTTGCAAATTTAAAATCCTCGGGAAATAGTAGAGCGGCTTTTGAATACATTATTCGATAGGCCTGTCGAATTGTAACATCAGCGACGCCAGCAATTTCACCAATTTCCTTTTGTGAACGTTTATGATCTGATGCCTTGAAATAGAAATTTTATTCATTAAATTTTTGTGTTTTTTCTTTTTTCAATAAAAGTCTTTTTTGTTTTATACTAACTTGTGAAGCCATGTAAATAGCGGCGGCAGCAACAGAAATAGGGGAACGTCCCGATATAATATTGAGTTCCGATGTTTTACGTGCAATATGTGTCGCACAACGTTGTACATTATTTGGTAATTGTAAATTAGCGCAAAAACGTGACATAAAATCGCCAGTGGTAATAACTTCAACATTTGTTTGTAATGCTTTGAGTATTAATTTAAAACATTTGCCAATTTCTTTTTTACTCACACTACTAACGGCACAAATTTCTTTAAATGTACGCGGTACACCTTCTTGTCGGCAAGCGATATATAAACATGCAGAACAAATTGCATTATTAGCACGTCCCTTCAGGACTTTTTGATCGTGCACCTGCTTAAAGAGATTATTAGCACGATCAATAATTGTTTGGGAAAGATTTATACGATCAGACATTGAACTTATTTCACGAAATGCATTTATTAGCGTGCGATCTGAGCTGCTCATCTGCGAAAAATAAAGAAAAAATTCTTTTTAAAGATTACATGTAATAATAATGAAAATAAAAAAATTTATAATTAAAAACCCTTAAAGAAATTTTGTTTCAACAAAAATTAAAATTAATTTTTTAAAAAATACAATAAATGTATAATATTCTATTTATTATTAATAAATAAAGAAAATTGGGAATAAAATAGATCTTACAGTTCGACGATTTTGATATTTGGAAACACCGAAATCGTCGAAAGAAGCTGCACCAGTTGCTGGACCAATTATAGTCGATAAATCTGCACCACTTAGTAGAGGATTTTCTGGACCTCCAACACGTGAAGGATCAACACCGGCTTTTTCATTGCTAAATGTTCGCCATTCAGATCCAACGTCGATAATTCTTTTAAAAGAACATTAAAGAAATTAAAATTAGTCAATCAAGTAAAAAAATACATCGAAAGCAAAAAAATAAAATTCAAGACATTTTTTTTTTTGTAAATTGTTTAAATACCTGTCGCCAACAACTAATCCGCATTCTGAACAAATTTGATCACCTGCTCGATAATCTTCGATGAGCGGAACATTTGGATGATATGGACAGCCAATTTTGTTGACATAAGGACTTGAAAATTAACAAACAAAAAAACTCCATTTTAACAATTGCATAACAAAAAAAGAAAAAGAACATTTAAATTAAAATTCCGAGAAAATTATCAAATAAAGACGAATTCGATTTAAATAAAATATATGCTTAAGAAAATAACTACTCTGTCAAAATAATAATACATTTACACGTATTTAAGAAAAAAATAATTTATCACTTTCGGTCAATTAAAATTTATTTGGATTTTTGTAATTATTTTCCTGCCAATACAAATAATTCTAATTTTAACTAAATAATTATATAAATAAAGAAAAAGGAGATAAACGTCTTTTGTCACGTACATAACCTATAAATATAAAGTGCTCCAGATGATAGCATTTTTTTCACAATTCAAACGAAAAATTACTCTTCTTTTCAATATTAACGTCAAAAATAATTGTACTTACTTTGAGGAACTAGCCATCACTTATATTTTGGAAATAAATCAATAAAAATCTTCTTTTTAGAAAGAAAAATGACACTAAACGACTTATAAGGAAAATGTCCAAGTTTTTTCTATGTTTTTTCTTTCATTAATCGCATAAATAGAATTCTTTGCTTTCGAGTTCCGTAAAATTATGATAGATGCCGCCTTCTATTGATTCTAGACTTTACCAATAATTTCAAAAAATTCATAATTATATATTTTCAATTTTTCCTATACACAATGTATATTTATATTTATAATATTTAGACTTGTAATTTATGATATTTACTAAATTATACGAAAATGATAATTAATCTTCGAAAAATATTAAAAATTTGATGTTTAATTGGAAATGGTAAACGAAAAATTTGAAATTCCCGCCAACTCTGTCCAAGGGGAAATGAGAATTCATTAAACACGGAACATGAAATTTGAAAGACCGTTAAAAAGTCGAGTCAAGGAACACCATTTTTGCGAAATGTTTGGACCGGTCAAGTGTTTTTTATATTTTTGGAGACCGTTAATAGAAAGTAAAGTTGTTTTATTCGTGAATTTTGTAATTTTCATCGGGTATCGTATTGTCCAACAGGTTCAACATTTCGCAAAGCTCCCAATTAATGTGGTAAGTGAATTTTCATCTCAAAAAAGACATTTTTTTATCTGGACGATATAGTGTCTTTGTCACATATGTATTTTTTCTCTGTTAAGACAAAAACTCGTTTATTCTATATATGTATTTACAATTCGTGGAAATCCAGCGACGCCATTTTCATTTTTTTCTTTTCTCTAAAATACGTGTATTAAAAAAGTTAATTTCTCATTCTGAATTGTAATAAATGCTATAGAATCGTAATTCTTATTTTATACACACGTGATATTATAATTGTAAGTATATAAAAATTGGATTTTAACCAAATTTGTCTCAATTGTATGAATTGAAATTAAATTCTTTGCATTAATTTTATTAGTGAGCATAATAATATAATCTTCTTATTTCTTTTGATTCGAAATAGAAAATACTTGCTTTTTACTTTTTCATTTTTTTTTATTCCATACAATCAGAAAATCAAAAATTGTTACATTGTTCTTTTGATAGAGGCAACAATCTTATTTTTTTTGTTGGTTAGTCAAAACAAATAAAATATATTATTTTAGATGCTGAAACAAAATTATCGCGTTTTGATTTTAAATCATAAAGATTTGTTGGTAACTTTAATAATGAAAGAAATAAAATTCCATTAAAGCAAATTTTCGATGGAAAATAGAAATCGAGTGTAAATTTTTTTTTTAAGTATTTTTGCACGACGAAAAAAAGGTTTTTCTCTTCGTTTTTTCAATAAATTTCGTCAACCCAAAAAATAAATTGTTGGAAAAGTTTAAAATGAAGCAATCGTATATTTTTCTTTTTATTAAATTTAATTTAACTAATAATTAATTTTTTTAATACAGTAATTTCTTAATTTAATTAATAACTTTCATGTTTCTTTGTGTTTAATTTAATTTTATTATTTAGTATTTATTTACAAATGAAATTATTAAACGAATGGAAAATATTAATTGAAACTGAAATTCAAAAAAATGTCTACAAACTTAAAAAAAAAAAAAAAAAAAATTTACATTTTAAAATAAAAATTGGTCAACGAAAAATTAAGACCAATTTTTTTTCTGTAGTCAAAATAACAATTTTTCGTCATTTTTAATTTTATAATAAAATAATTTTCCAGGAAAAAGATGAATATTACTTAAAATTTGTCCTTTTTTATTTATTTATTTATTTAAAACCTTGAAAACTTTTAAGTTTAATATTTTATTATAAACTTTGTAATTTTATTAATAATTTGTTGTTCTTTTTTTTTAGCTCGCTCTCTTTCTCAAAAGTTTTCCGATGAATTTGTGTGGAAAATATTAAAGAATTATGTGAAAGAAAGAAAAAAAATTCCGGGAATTTTTAAATTATATGAAAAATTTAAAAACAATTTCATCAACGCATGTATTTTACAAGGTATTTACAGAAAAAATTATTTTCAAAAATTTTGAATTTCATAAATGAATATTATTAATTTTGTTCTTATATATACTTAAATTTAATACAGAAATTTGGAATATTAATTAAATATTCTACTATTTATAATAATTATTTATATATAAAATTAACTGAAATCATTTTCAGTTACAATGAATTAATTTAATATAACAATAATTATTTAAACAAATTAATAAAACAAAAATTTTTTTAAATAAAGTAATTAAAAGAAAACACAATTTTTCACTAAAAAGTGACAAATTTTGACAAATTAAAAAGTTTTTTTTAATTTCAATCACGTTCAAATTTTTGTAACTTGAATTGATTTTTTTATTATTCAAGTTCATAGACTTTTATGGAATTAATTTTCTTTGCAATTAAAAATTAATTAAAATTTGCTATCTCTCTTTCTCTTTCTCTCTCCTAGAAATATAAATACCGGTAAAAATTTTCTGATGAGAGAATGAGTACTGCGGATTATAAAAAAAAAAAATTAAAAAAAAATTATAAGACTTAATGGCATCATCATAACGTGATATCATTATCAAGTTCACGCAATGACGATTTCTTAAGTATCAGATTGTTTTCTCTGACTTCAATTGAAAATCGGATGAAAAAATAATGAATTTTCTGTAACTATTTTTCTCTTTTTATGTTTTGTTTTAATTAAATAAAGAAAATTGATGACGAATCAATTTCTTTAGTTATAATATGATTTATATCATTTTAATTGTGCAAAAAATGCCTGAATTTTTTTTTTTTTTTACTATTATTCAATAATTTAATTTTTAATTCAGCGTTTAATTTAAAAATTCAATATTTTAATATTATTAGATTAAATTAAATTTAAATGTTATTAAAATTTATTTATATTATTATTATTTGATATATAATTAATATACATAAATTTGTATTAATTTCTATTAATATTATTATATAAATTAATAATAGATCTATATAGTCTATATACCCTGAGTTCCTGTGATAATTCGGATTCTTTTTTTTTTTTATTTAAAATAAACACATGACACTTATTGAACTATGAACATTTAAAGGTCAATCGTTGAATATATGTTGCATAGTTAATGGTTCGCGTGCCAAATGAGATCAACATTGTTTTCAAAAGCTATTATTTCTCATCATTAATTAAGAAGTCATTAATATCGATTTTTTCTCATTTCTTTTCTTTTTATAAAAAAGCGATTTTGATTATATTAACGTCGCTCTTTTTATCAGCCAATTTATAATTTTCATCTATATAATATTAATCTTAATTAAATTAGAGGGAAGAAAAAAAATTGTCTTTTTCAATCGATTATTATTATTATTATTATTATTATTATTATTATAAAAATAATAATTGAATTTCATTTTTAATTAATAATTAAAATACCTTTAATTGGAACAATTTGAAGTTAAAAATAATTAAGTAATGACAGGTATTTTTTAAAAATAAATTTTGATAATTTTAATTGTGCTCGGAGTAGATTTATTTTTGAATTAAAAACAAACATTAAAATTTCGTTGTGAAAAACAATGAAGTAAGAGCAATAATTTAATTTATTCTAAGATTAATAATTTACTAAGAATTTTCTGATTACGTAGAATTCATAAATTTTATACACGTTCTTTAACTAATAATTTTATCTATATCTATCAGTATAGGTACATATTTTGATTTTTCATCTATTTTAGTCTCTTCTTTGATTATTATCAATTACATTAACAACAACAGGGAAAAAATATATATATCTCAATTTTTTTTTTTTAAATATTACTAGATATACTAGGGGGTCATCCATAAACTACGTAGCCCATTTTTTTGGGGAAATTTTAAGCTCCCCCTATGTAGCACTCTGTTAATAATAATAAAATAATACATAATAATAAATATTATTTATCAATTATTATTATTATTATTATTTATTTATTTTTAAATTGTTAATTTTTTTTTGAATTAAGTTTTTCTATAATTAGTTAGTTTTTTTTTTTTTTTTTTACCACATTTACAAATAGAATCGTGTGAATATTTTAGCTCAAAATAAAAAGAAAAAAAAAATTGTAAACACAGAGTTATGCTGATAAAAAAAAGCAATTCATAATTTCCCTTACTATATTTATTGACGTATCTTGTCAAGTTTTAAAAGAGAGCACGTGAGACGATTTCTCAAATATACATACATTTTTTTTTAATCTTATCAAATGATTTTGTACGTACAAAGTACTTAATTTTATTATTGTTTACTAGGAAATGTAATACATAGACATGCAACATTTTTTTGTCACAATTTTTCAAAAATTTAATTTAATTGTTTGTTTATGATTATTTATTAATCAACACAAATTAAAACTAAACTAAAAAATGGTAACATTAAACTGTTATCATTTTTGTTACCATTTTTGTTATTTTTTTGGTTTTTTTTTAAGTAACGCGTTACCGTTTTAAAAAATAAATTATGTTATTAGTTAATATGTAATTATTAATAAATAAACAAAATTAATCTATTTTTAAAAAGAAAAGATTATCGTATTATTTAATTTACTGCATTCAAAGATGATTAAAAAAAAAGCGAATTATGTATATTATTATTTATTAGTTTTATACAAAACGTGAGTTTTCTTGACGACAGTCACGCATCACAGTTTTCTAATTATCTTTTTATTTTTCTTTCTCCTCCCCCACTTATTTTCTTTTTCTTGATACTTTTTCACATTCATTTATATAAAATAAATGTACGATTATCGGAAATCGACGATTTCCGAGCTTAGTACGTTTTTTTTATTATTAAAACTCTTTATATGTGTGGTGTAGTGAAAAAGAGGGATGAGGAAGAGGGGGAGGGGAAATAAGTTTCTCAGGAGGTCAATCGAGAAAAACGGGGAAAAATCACGTGGTATATAATACTAATCGGGAATTCATATATAAAAGAGCTTATTTCCTAATTTTCTCTATTATTGAAACATTTCTTCAGATAATTAGAGCATTTTTTAAAACAAAAACTGTGTGTTAAAATTGTGAGCAAACTGTTTAAGAAAAAAAATTGTTCAAAAAAAAAAAATTCAGTGAATTTTTAAAAAATTAAAAAATTTTCTTTTTGTGTATGATAAAAAAAGAGAAGGAAATTAATTTCTTTAAGGTAAGTAAATTTTTATTTAAGTCTTAAATCATTTTTATTTTTTAATTCATTGTTTTTATTTTTCTTTGTTGAATCACAATAAGGTTAATTTTATTTTTTTTGACGAATATAAGAAAAAATTATTTTATATATTTTTTTGTATTTCCAATAATAAAAAAATTGTTTTATTAATGAAAATAATTTTTTTCAGAATGAATAAATTTGGATCATTGGCCGATGGTTCTTTATCATTGATAGGCAATGCTTGTACCAATTCACCAATAGTAGGAATGATTGTTCATCCAAATCTTACATCGAGTCAAAATGTTGTCAGGTATTTAAACAAAGTATCTTTAATTAAAATGAATAATTTAATAATTAATTTAAACTAATTAAATAATTAAAATTAATAATTTTAGCCAAAAATATGAATTGGGTGCACATGGCTATGGGAAAAATAGTGTTAAAATATTGCACGTACGTCGCAATGGTGATTATCATCATGAAATTCGTGAATACGAAGTTGACACACATTTACGATTGAATACACAAAAAGATTATTTAAATGGTGATAATCGTGATATAATAGCGACTGATAGTCAAAAAAATACTGTTTATTTATTGGCAAAAAAATATGGCTTAAAATCACCGGAAGAATTTGGAATTTTAATATGCGCCCATTTTCTCGATACTTATAAGCACATTGAGGAAGTTAATGTCAATGTCGAGGAATATCCCTGGAATAGACATCAAGTCAATGGCGTGCCACACAATCATGCATTTATCTTAAGTCCTATGGCCACGAGATATTGTCAAGTCACTCAACTCAGAAATGGTATTTATTTTTATTGTCTGATTCATTCAATCATTTTATTTATAGTTATATATATATATATATATATATATATATATATATATATATACATTGTCCATTATAACTTTCTTTAAACAATTATTCATAATCAAATTCAATTATTTTTTTATAATAAATTTTCAACTTTTTTTTTTAATCAAATGTACTTTTCTATCAACTATTGGCAAACGAAAAAATTTGGTTTTTATTTTTTTTTTAGATATGCCACGAATTAGAGGTGGTTTAAAGGGTTTACGTGTTTTAAAAACAACACAAAGTTCATTTACCGATTTTATTCAAGATGAATATCGAACATTGCCCGATGCTAATGATCGAATTTTCAGCACTGAAGTGCAAGCGTCGTGGGATTTTTCAACGGCTTCCGATGTAGATTTTGACAAGGTGTGGCATACCGTTAAGGATTGTATTCTTGAGAATTTCGCAGGCCCACCTTACACTGGAATTTACTCGCCAAGCGTTCAAAATACTCTTTATCTTGCCGAGAAACACGTGTTAGATAAAGTTGATCAGGTATTTGGGAGCAAATTAACCCATTTTTAAACAAAAATTTTTTACTTTTTTTTCTTTTTTTCTTTGGAGAAAACATTTTTTTTTATAGTTTATTTTTGTTTCTTAACAGATTTCGAGTATCGAGATGAGAATGCCCAATAAACATTATTTCGAATTGGATCTTTCGAAATTTCCAAAAGTCATTCAGGAAAAAAATAAAGAAGTTTATTTGCCAGTTGATAAACCATCAGGCATTATTTATGCACAATTAAATAGAAAAAATATCAAATCCAAACTTTGACAGAGAGGCAATTTTAATGTTTTTGTGGTCAGTATTTTTTTTTAGAAATTTTATTATTGTATTAAAAAAAAAAGTAGGTTTATTTAAAAAAAAAAATTAATTTATGTACAAACTTTACAATGAAAAAGAGAAAAATATTATATTTTTAATAAATGAAAATATTTTTAAAAATTAATTACTGTTGTAATTATTTATTACTATTTTTGTTATTAATGTTGAGAATAAGATTTTTCAAAAAAACCTAATTTTTTTGTAAAATATTTATTATAATAAATTTTTTCTCACAAAGCCCTCAAATTTTTTATGTAACTTATTTTTATATCAATACAAATTTTCTTCAATATTCATTATTTACGATATCGTTTTTTTCGGTGAAATTTTTTTTTATAGAATTGATTTTTTAATAATTTTTTTCGATTTCCGTGAAGAAAATAAAAAATTAATTTTGACTCGTGACAATTTAATGTGACATATATATATTTGTAAATCTATTAATAACATTTCTAAATATACAATGAAAGAAAGTGAAACTCGATCATTGGGTCAAAGATATTAGTAATGTTCACAATATGTTTGAAACGTCGATTTCTATACACATCCTCTTTGACACACCCTTTTCTTTCATTATTTCTTTTCATTTTTATTTCCTCGCTTTTTGTGTCATTCCTCAAATAATGTCTTTTCATTTAGTGAAACTTGGAAATATTTAACTTGGCCAAATACTCCAATGTCATAAGAGAATCGTTACATGCAGTTAGACACTCAGTTTCATTTTTGACTTGACACGAAATGCATTGAGAAAAAATTAAAATATAAAAAAAAACTATTTTCTATTATCAAAATTTTTGAACAAAATCGAATTGTAACTTAAAACATTAAAAAAAATATTAGAAAACGAAATAAATTCACATTTTTTTTTTTCACATACCAACAAATTTATTTTAACAAAAAAAAAAAAAACAATGCAAAATTTTGTGAAAATTTCCATTAATATTTTACTTACCTTTTGCCTGTGGAACAATTATTATTGTGTTTTGTGTGAAAATAATGTGAATTGTGGAGGGACATTTTCCGGTTATCAATACACAATTAATAGTCCAAATTATCCCAATGAATATCCAATGAATCAAAATTGTCAATATTATTTACATGGAATGAGACAAGCACGTTGTGAACAAGAATTTCATTTACAATTTCTCGATTTGGATATTAGAGCCTCGGAAAAATGTGAAAAAGATTATCTTCAAATAGGCGAATCGAATATTTACTGTGGAAAAAATGCGGGACTAAGAATTTTTAAGGGACAAAAGAATGTGTTAAAAATTCATTTTCATTCAGGATTAGAAAAAATTGGAGCCAAAGGATTTCGAATTTTAGTTACAACTTTGCCATGTGTCAATACACAACATAAACAAAATGTCACTTCGTAAGTATTTTTTTAATCACAGCAAATTTTTTTGATTTTTAAAAAGAAGTTTTAATTTAATTTTACACGTCAAAAGAAAAAAAAATTCGAATTACAATGTTTTTTGCTTTAAAATTTTCAGCACACATCGACAAGTGGCATCGCGACAAATAACACCAAGTGGAAAAATTGAGACATCATATACAAATTCACATAACGATACAAAAAATGATAAAAATTTAAACTTTCAAAAATCGAAATCACCACTTTTGAATCATAAGCAATTAATGGTTGAAACACTTTCGCCAGTTTATCGGTCGCAGGTGAAATTTCCCGGAGAAAATAATTTTTCTAGACCACTAACATCAGAGAGAAAACAACTTGGTCCATTGACATATCTTTTTTTACCACCCACATCAAATAGTATGAAAATTTCGTATTCGTCGAGAAATTTGACAAATTCTCAATTACCAACTATGAAACCCGTGGAAAATTTTTCACTACCAATTTTTCCAAATATTCCATTTCGCGTGTCACAAACTTCTGATAAATCATCAAGTGCATTGAAAATGGAAAATTATTCACCAGAACGAAATTATCAAACTAATTTTCCCAGTAGAATTCACGGTTTGAATTACGGGAATGAAAACCAAGTTAGTTTCGAAGCAAATTCAGGACAATTTTCAGAATTTGGTTCAGGAATTAATTTTGCAAAATCAAATTTTGACTTTGGGAACTCTAAACCACTATTTGCTCCCGATTATAATTTTGGAACCAGTTCGGTATTAAATTCGGGCATTGGTTGGGGAACGGGAATTACACGGCCGAATTCAGCTCAAAATCCAGGAATTGGAAATTTTGGACCTGTAAATGATTTAGAAAATGGTTCAGGAATAGAATCAGGTTCAGGATTTGGAAATGCGAATTCGGGATCAAATTCAGGAGTCGGATACTCTGATTCGGGAATTGGTTTAGAAAATAATTTTGAAGTTGAATCAGATTTTAGTACAAATAATAATAATAATAATAATTGGGAAACAAGTTCAGGAACCTTTCCAGGAATCGGTACGCAACCAAGTTCAGGATCAAATTCGGGAATTGATTCGAAATTTAATTTCGGATTAAATTCAGGTGTTGGTCATACTGGACCGGAAATTGAATCAGGAATCGGTTCAGGTATCTATTCGGTGAAAGGTCATGGATCGAATTTTAGATTTGGATCAGGAATCTATTCGGAAAGTGGTCACGGATCTAATTTGGGAAGTGGTTCTGGAATATATTCAGGAATCGGTTACGGATCGAATGCAGCAACTGGTTCGGGAATATTTTTAGGGACTGGTTCCGGTGTTGGTTATGGATCAGATTTGGGTGTCAGTTATGATGGACCTGGATTTGAAGCAGGAATTGGTCCGGAAAAAATTCCAGATATTGATTCGATATTAGGTTCAGGAATTGATCCTAATTATCCAGCCTGGTCCCAACCAGCATCTGAATGTTGTAAATCCAGTATTCCTACTCAAAGATCCATAATCGTGAGTCCAGGATTTCCGAATTTGATTTTTTCATCCGCTCCATATGAATGTGGTTACACAATATATAAATCGTCTCCCGCATCGTGTCAATTGAGATTGTATTTGAAATTCTTCAATTTTGGCATCGATGATCCATTTTGTAGATACGGTTCTTTGTCAATTAACGGTAGACGAATTTGTGGTTGTAAAACAAATTTAAATCTTGTTTTTCCTTTTGGCAATTTCCCAGCGATTGTGATTAATGTGGAATATCAGGGTTTTCCAAAGTCGAAATTTAATGGATTTTTGATTGAATTGATTCAGGAGAATTGTGACAATGATTTTCCATTGATTCGAAATCGAAAAGATTTATCTGCATCATTATTATCATTGAATGAGACATTTGTGGGTGAATTGAAACATGAATTTGGAAATTTGTCGAGATCGATAAATTCACATGCAAGAAATAAAAGAGAGACTAAGGAGGAGGAGGGATATTTCTATGCGAGACCATCATCGTCATTGTCATCGGAGACGGGTCACGCGAGTTTCAATGCTAAACATTCGTCGGCATTTGGTCGAAGTGAGAGACTTTTTTTCAACTCGTGTCAAAATCGTGTTTTTCTTGATTGGATTTTGGCAGCGAAAGAGGCATTTATCACTGGTGTCAGATGTCCTGATTTGAGAAATTCTAGACATTTGATAAACGTCATTCCCAAGGAATGGAATAGATATCCGGGAACTTGTGAGGAAATACCAGCAATTGAGGGAGTCATTTTTTCACCTTTATATCCGAATTATTATCCAAATTTTGTTAGGAAATGTTACAGGTTAGTTGTTGTACTTTTATGAAACCATAATAGTTCCTGAAATTTTTTTTTATAATTTATTCATTTATTTTTTTCCTTCAGATTTCACAGAGCCCCGGGATTTTGTCAGTTGGAGGTTTCAATTTTAGATTTTAATTTGGAGGCAAGTTTGGGATGTGCTAATGATTTTTTAGTGTTCAGCGGACAAAATAAACGATATTGTGGAGACTCTTTACTGGGAACGACAAGTAAGTAGTTATTGTTAATTTTTAAATTAATTAAAGTTATAAATTATAAATTTATTATAAATATAAAAAAATTATTAAAATAATTGTTTTACGTTGGCAAATCTATTTCACTATTTATAGTAAGAAAAAGATAGTGTAAACGTCAATCGAAAAAGCAAAAAAAAAAAAAATTCATTCTCTTATGACGTGTATATTTGCTGCGTCAAATAAAATAGATAAAATTTTATCATAATATATTTAAATAAATAAATATATATATAGTCAATTTAAGTTTCCGTGTGTGTAGTAATTGACTTTAAAAGTAAATTTTCTTTTCTTTTTTTTTTCATTATTATCATTCGATAAATATCCGACCTTTGCTTTCTCAGCTACATTATTTGCTCTTGAAGAATAAAATTGAAAGTTTTAATTTAATTTTTTTTTTAATTTTTGGCATTATTTTTTAGATATTGAATTTATCCAAAAAAATATATATCATTTTTTCAAATTGTTAAATTATTAAACAAAAGTTTAAAATAAAATTAATTAACATTAATTAATTAAAATATAAATTATTTTAATGTACGTGTTTTGTACTTTATTTATAATGTAATGAACATTTTTCTTTTTTCAGCTGTTTTCGATCTTTCACGATCAAAAGTAGCAGAAATTTATTTTAAAACAGACGCAGTCGGAAGTGGAAGAGGATTTATCGCTGGTTTTGTACAAAAAGCTTGTTAATTGTCAATGGATTTTTTATAATAAAATTTTTATAATTTCACAAGCACATTTTATTTTACTTATATTTTAATAATAGGTAATAATAATTAATTTAATTTATTTTATTAATATAAAATAATGAATAAGAAATAATTTTCTAAGTTTTTCCACTTTTAATTTCCTTTCCACCTATTAAGAGGTATTTTAAGTAGGATTACAAGATTTTTTAAATTAACAAAAGACTAAATTTGTTAATTAACAAAAAAAAAACCTTTATATTATATATTTATATATTTATAATTACTCGGGAATTAATGAAAATTGTTCATTTATTTATTTTAAAATGCCATTTATATATAAGAGATTTATACACAGATTGTACATTGAAATTTATTGTACATATGATATTTTTCTTTTAAAACTATTTTATACAATTAATTTTTTTTGTTTTTATTTTCAATAATAATGTGAAAAAAATGTTGCTGTTTCTTATGTAAAATTTTATTTTATATTTTATCATTTCTTAATTTTACTTTTATTATTTCATGATTTGCAAAGAATATTCTCAAAAAATTGAGAATTATTTTTTTGTTTTCAAATAATCATCAGCAATTTTTTTTTCCCTCCTTAATATAAAAAAATTTTTTCAACCATTTATCCATTGAAATTAATTAATTCATAGTTTATTATTTATTATTGTGACTTGGATTTTTTTTGGATTTTTATTTACACTCAAACATTTAAGTAGATTTAAGTAGAATTTAAAAAAATATTTTCTTTTCTAGATTTTGAAAAATATTTTTAAAAAAAGAAATACATTTTTTTTCTGTGTTTATTGATACTACTATTTATATACCTAAACACATTTTTTTAATTTTCTAAAAAAAAAATTGAACTTAATTATGTATCCAAACAGTAAAAAAGAACATGTAATGAGGAAAATAAATTTTATTAAATTAAAAATACAATTAATTAATTAATTTATATACAGTTGTAATCTGAATTAATTAATTATATTTTTTTATTGTACTAATACACTTGTAATTCATAAAACAATAATAATTATTATTAATTTTTTTTTTATTATAATAATTATTATTTTTATTGGAATTATTAAAAATTATATTGAAATATTAATTGAAAAAATACAATTTATAATTGACAATTGAAAATTTTTTAATATTATGCCAATCATCGTATAAACGTATATATAGCGATTTATTTTCGGCGGCCCAAAAATCGAATATTAGTAAAAACTGAACCTCCGGGTTTGTGACGTTTGCAAAAATCAACGTCATCCGGTCTTAAAAATTTTTCATGTCCACGTGCACCATGAAGTGCGACCAATAATTTGAAAACTTCTCTTCTTGATGGCATACATAAATATTGCTCTTCTCTGTAATCGTAATCGCTACAAAATTTTTAAAAATTCATAAAAAAAATTAATATCTCGTGAAAAAATCATTGAGGCTAGTCTTAACGAGAACAAATATTACAAAAAAAAAAATTCAGAAAAATCGTGTCCGATTTAGCGTGGAATGTTCTATAATAAATATATATGGGACATTCCACGTCAATTTGACAAAAAAAAAAAAAAAAAAAATATTTTTTTCTCACCTAGAATTCCGCCTCTTCCACGGATATCGACGATAATATCTAGATCTTTTTTTAAGATTATGTTCATTATCTTTGAAAGTGAAATCTAAATTATTGTCAATTTGTTGTGATGGTACTTGAAATACAACAAGAGGTGCTTTCCATGGCCCCTTTTGTTCAAGTAATTTTTCTAAAATTTTTGACAATTCTAAGAGATCTGCTTTGCTCGGTTGCGTGGAAGATTCTGTAAATTTGGAAAAATATTAATAATAATAATAATAATAATAATAATAATAATAATAATAATAGATCAAATATATACGTAATTAATATTGAAAAGAATTTGATTTTTTTTTTAAAGTTATAGTGAATTTCAATATTCCCTTTAAACTTGTGCCCTTACTTGTGTAATCATTAGCAAAATAATCAATTTGTGAATTATCGGCGTAATTTTCATTTGTAATATCTTCCCAATTATTATTATTATTATCAAATTCTTCTTTATTGGATAAACTCAATGATTTTTTTATTTGAAGTGAAGCCACAAGGCAAAGGCAGCAAACGAATGATTTCATCTGAAAAAAAAATTAATAATTTCGAGAGTTTAAAAATTTAATATTTATTTATTATTTTTATTTGGAAAAATTGAAAATTTCGAGAGAAATTTTAAAGTTCAAGGAGAAAAATATAGTATATGTACATATTCAAAATCTTTTGATAACAAAGAAACTTGTTACGGCTTCATGAAGTTAACTATACATTGTCCGTTCATCCAATTTTCATATTTATTTTTAATTTAAATTTTATCATATAACAAATATTATTTTATTATTGTCGTTGAATTATTATATAGCATAGTTAGATAACTTCAAAATATATATATATATAGATATATGTAATTTTTTCTTTTTTCCTATATTTAATTAGAGTTGGAAGAAAGTGAATATATGTTTTGGGGGGAAACATTTTAATTATTGCAAAATTATTTTTTTATGTGTTAGTGAAAAAATTTCAAAATTAAAAAGCTAATGGTATTGTTTTTTTTTCTTTTTTTTACTCTATATATTACGGGAAAGTAAATTGTGTGGCTTTTTTTTTTTTTTGCAAAAGCATTTCGTGACAAACTCATCGCCCTTTTGCATCAAACAACTTATTAAGTCTAGTTACGCACACCTTGTTACAACATAAACTATCAAAGTTGTGGGATTTCTCTCTTCTTATTAGTTTCGAGTAAATATGAGCAATATAATTACTGTTTTATTAAGCACCACCTGCACCTTCGTGTGTTACACTCATATACACTTTGAACATACATTGTATAAATGGTTTTCAATTCTTAAATTAATTACTCATTGAATGGCAGGAAAATTTTTAATTAATTATTTAAAAATCTACACTATAGATATAATAATTTTATATGAGCTAAATTTGGAAAAATTAATTCACTTCATTTGAAAAAATATTTTTATTCAAAAATAGAAAACAAATATTATGTTTGTAATTAATATCACTTAAATTTAATTTTCGCGCAAAAAATATTTGTATATTTAGGGAATAACTTTCCTATGATTTTTTTTAATACAATTTATTTTAATTATAATGTAAACAAATAAAAATTAATATTATGTAATCATTAACAGAGTAAAAAATCCTGTATAGGTTTACAAACATTTTAGTTTAGATTGAATTAATTTAAATAATTAATATTATAATTATTTAAGAACGAATTAATTTCATGTCTTTTCGTTTTGAATTTCTGAAATTTAAATTATAAAAAAATATATATTATAATAACTCTAATTGTTGTTTAACATCTATAATAATACTCAAACAACAATTTAAATCGATTGAAATATTATTATTATTAATAATAATAAATTAAATTACAATTAACAACAGCAACAATAATAAAAGTAATTTAATAAAAAAAATAATTCAAATAATAATAAATAAAAATTAATAATTACATACTTCCTGAATTATTTTTTATATCACAAAATATTCACTTCACTTGAAAAAAATTTTTTAACCACTTTATTTTAATTAATAATTAATTTTAAATTTATAAGTACATATATATATATGTATTTTTTATAATATGTATACATAAACTATTTGTAATTAAATTTATTAAAAGTTTCTTTTTATTTATTTTTTTTGCTTTGGGGGTAGTTCGACTGATGACGACGCGTTGATGTGTTCTGAAGGGGTGGTTGGGATTCTGTTGCTTTATATAGGCATCGCAGACTCCACAGGAGATGGAAAAAAACAATACCTAAACACAAATAACGTTAAAATTGTCTTCAAGCTTAATTTTACCTCTGATCGTTTAATACGAGAATTAAAGAGACTATGAAAAGAAAGGGAGATAAAGAGAGATAGAGAGAGAGAGAGAGAAAAAAAAGATAGAAATCCTTCATAAAAATATTTCAGAAAAATATTTATTTCTGCCTTTTTTTATTTTAGAAAAATTTTGTTGTAAAAAGATATTTAATGACAAAAAAAAAACAAAAATATTACATTACTTTAATCTAAATTATGTAAAATTATCACTACGCTTTAGTCCTTCAGTAAATCCGGTATGTATACATACAAAAAGAATTTCGAAACATCTTATTAAATGTATCTTCGAAAAAATCCAAATGTGATTCTATCTAATTACAGTGATGATATCTGATGAGGACGCAGAATTCTACGTCGAAATGCGTAATGTAAATTGATGTTAAAATAAAAAGCCAATAGGCCAAAAATTAAAAAACACCACTTGATTAATTAAATCTTAAAAAAGAAATTTATATTTCTAAAACCAATAAAAAATTAATGATATTAATAAGTTAATAATTATTAATAAACATCAATTAAATTAAATTATTAATATTGTTTATCTATATTTTTTAAGCTATTACAATTATTAAAAGAGAAAAGCGATTGGCTTTTTTTCGTACTTTCTGTTGTTTCCATTTTTTTTTTTTATTTTTCTATTTGGTTCACAGAATTTTTCATTGTAGAATGTAGTTTTTCATTGAGATTATTAGAATTTTCTTGTTGTTTGTATCGTGCCTCATCCGCATACGAATACAAAATTCCAACAATTGCATGTGCTTTCGCGTACATTTCTTCCACCGACTGAAATATATGACAATAAAATAGTAAAAATTTATTTGAAAAATTTGCCATTTTAAATTTTCTCTATCAGATTTCATATTAGCAAGTATAATCAAAAAGCGTAGTCGCAGTCTGACTAAGGATTAATATTTTTGAGTTATGATCAGAATCAATTGACTAATAAATTCTGATGAGGAGGTCGGTACCGATCTCGAAACGTCAAAGATATGTTTTTGTCTTTTACTGAGTTCCAAAAAGATTGCCAATAATCAAATTTTTAATTATATAATCAAAAAGTTATATGTCAAGTTCAAGTTGATGGCAATTATAATTGAATTTGGTTTTTCTTTAATTTGAATCAATATTTCATTTATGTAATTTTATGAAATTATGTCAAGCATAGTAATCCTACTTTTACATAATTTCGTTAAAAATATTATGTAAATACTGTATAAAGAAAGGGTCCATATTACTAAAATACCTTGGCGTCCCGAAGGCTTTTGACAGCTTCCGTTTCATAGTGAAGTCGGTCGAAATCTTCCTGGCTCAAAATATAACCACGTTCCATATCTTTTTTCTCCTCTTGTTCTCTTAAATATGCAAAAATCTCCTTATCTGTTAATGGTACCTAAAAATAGTTTATTTTTCGTGGTTGGTGATAACAATCTTAAAATCAAATATGGTTAATTTTTTGAAAGTTTAGATAAATTTAATTAAAAATTGATTATTCAGTGGATTTTCAGGGCCGCTTTTCCTTTTCACTTATTCCACGTGATTAATCGATTATGTTTATCAGAATTTTGAAAGAAAATGAAAAAAGAAAATTTTTTTATAATTGCGATTTAGCATTGAGAATTATAATATTAGATAAAAGCATTAAATTTCCTCGTTAACGATTTAATTGTTTAATTGTTATATAGTATTATATACCATACCAATTCAGTTTCTATTTCATTTGTTGTTATTTTCTTAAAGTAAACATTCTCCTCCTCTTCAAGTTCATCTTTTTCCAAGGTTGTTGCGTTTGGATAAAGCATTCGATATAAAGATTTCCTTAAGCGAGTCAATTTTCTTGTCTCCTATATTTATTTTCTTTTTAATTACTTTCCCATAATTTATTTAATATATTCTTTAAATTTAATTTTTTATACCTTTTTACATGTTTGTTGAATTATCGAGTCACACTGTACATAAAGCTGAAACAATGAATGTTGTCTAATATCTTCTGGGGCTTCTTGAATTGGCATCAATCTTTTTAAAATCATCATTTTTGTTCGTGACAGTTCTTCTTTCTATTTAGATATAAAATATTATTGAAACAATTAATAATAGAATAAAAAATTTAAATAATACTAATAAGCTACTACTAATTTATAATTGAATTTGATATTTCGTGAGCTTGCAAACGATAATACCATTTTCTCACCCACTTTCTAAAATTGTTGTGCGATATTTAGGACTCGAGACATGCATGCCTCCATATTCACAACATCAAAATAGCAATATCATGATTATTGATTATTTATTACTCTTTCTTATTTAAAAAAAATGCAATTAGAAAAATTTTTATTTTTTTTTTTAATTTTTAAAATAATGTCAAAAATATTTATAAAATATAGTTTTGTAAAGATTTTTTGTTTTTTCAAACTAATTAAAATAATTACCATTCTTTCTTCTATTCTAATTTGCTGTTTCGTTTCATGATCCTGTTGAATTTTCGACATTAATTTGAGCATGTATTTCCGGTCTGTGAGCCTCACAATATTACTTCCCATTAACATTTCCAATTTTGATTTCACAAGGGGATGAGTAATGCTAAAAATTAATGATTTTATTGTATTGAAAATTTTTTTTTATTTGAAAATAATTTTCTAAAAGAATAAAATAAGGGAGGTAAAAATGGCTTCTAAACCAGGAAATGTGGTCGATTTTTTTTTAATTTCAAATAAACATAAAAAATCTTTAATTTTTTTAACATTGAATTAACATTTAAAAAACTTTCTTTTTTAATATTAAAATTTAATTAAAAAAATTATTCACTGTTTAGATATATTAATTTATTTATTTTTGTTTATTTATTTAATAACAAAAAACCACGCACATCCTATAGAGTCTCAAAAGTTGAACTGATGCAAATGCGCGACGTTCGTGACTGGTGCACAATGAGCAAAGAAATTGTAAGTTCGGCTATAAAGCAAAGTGTGCTTTAATGCAACTAATGCATTTCAAAGACATTGAATACTATTAGGAAAAAAAAATTTTTTTTTTAACTTAACTTAAAAAAATCAATTTCATTCAAATCATCAGTTACTTGAGTATTATCAAATAAATATTTATTTGATTCAACCAAATATTTAATTTCAATCAAATAAATATATTTTAAAATTTGAGCCACAATATTTTGTTTGGAAATTGTCACAAATATTGCACACAATAATATATGGAAAAAAGAAAAATTATGCTAAAAATTTATTTTATGTAAAATTAAACCTTTTTTTGTTATTTGTAAAACTAATAATTTTTTTTGAAAGAGAAATTACACATCATTTTTTCTACAACAATTCGTGTTTTATTGGTATTCATCTAATTTCTGATAAGTAGTGATTTATTCGTGAATTAATGGGGTTGAAGGCGAAATGACAAGACGATTTACGAGATTGCAATTTAGAAGCTAATGAGATTTTTGTACCAAATAATTATGGATATTAGTTGACATATATAAATGTCGTTTGTGGATATTAATATTCAAATACGATTGATTGCTAATTAATTTCTATCTTTATCATTTAAGTAATTCATTTCTATATACTATATTTCATGTTATTTAATAAATTAAGATTACTAAATTTGTAATTAATACAAAATAATGAATGAAATAAAGAATAAAATAAATATATGATATTTGATAATTTCACACAAAGTTTTCAAAAAAAAAAAAAAAGTGAATTAATTTCCTTTCTTCTCAAATAAATTGTAATGTTTATAATAATCGTTCTAAAAATGAAAAAACAAAAAAAAAATTTGTCGAGAGAATGTGGAAAGAAATTGAATTTTCTGTCAGAAAATAGAAGGAACGCTATTTACTAACATGTCGTGCTTTAATAGTAGTTAGCTGGGACCAAATAAAGAATGAGGACAATTGTTTGGGGGAAGAGAAGGGGGGGATAATATTTTGCTACATGCTAAATTTTGACAACGAATGTGGAACGATATCGGTTATTGATTACAAAACTGAATTCAACTCCAAAACATATATATACATATACAATATATATATATAGAAAATAATATTATATATTAGTCTTTATATCATTTTCGTAAAGGTCAAATTTAATTACAAAACTAAAATAAAAAAATTCTTATTTTTTTAAATATCTTTTTTATTAAATAGATAAACAATTATAATAAATACATATTTTATTATTTCATTATTTTAGTAATTTTATATATATTAAAAAATAATAAAAAAATAAATCTTTCTAAGTTTATTTTTTGTTTTTAAAGAAAAAAAGGGAACAGGAATGTTACGGTGTCGCTAAGTCACTATTACACCTTAAGCATTTCGTCCTCCCTCATCTCCCGCAAAGTAATTGGATTCAATTGTTTTCAACGGGCTTTGACCTGGTAATAAAATCAAGTGAAACGAGAAGTTATTTTAACAAGCAGGTTTTTTTTTTAGTTTTTTTAGTTCAAAGGACAAAGTTGGTTAGGTTCCGTTTTTTTTTTCTCTCGAAATTTACTGATTTTTCGACAAATAAAATGAAATTCTTTAGTGTTGATAGTAAATTATTTTTCATTTTTACAAATTATATATTCTCTCGTTGTAGTAAAATTCAAATTTTTGAATATTACATCCGGTTCGTTTTTGAAAGAAGATGTTAACGACATCTATGTATAAGAATTTCTAAATTGATTCGTTGTTCAATGGAGTTAATAGTTGAGTGGAATATTGTGATAATTTGAATGACTGTACAAGTACTGCCATCTACCGTGTGTTTTATTTGAAAATTTATTTTATCGACCGGAATGTAGGTAAAGTAAATTTTTGTAGATAATTTTCATTATAGTTATCTTCTGACAGTAATTATTGAGTTTTATAAAAAATTGGCAGATTATAATAAAAAGAATAAAATATAAAATTTAAATGCAAAGTAATAAAATTTGAATTAAAAATGTTCAATTTAATTTTTTAAACATCTTTCGTAATTTCAAATTGAATGAATTAATTTTAAATTAAATTCACTGTATACAATTAAAAGTTTAGTTGAAAAAATATTTTGAAACTTTTAATACGTTTTGTGTTAAAAAAATTAATTTAATAATACACGAAGTAAAATAATAATAATAAAATAAATAAAAATAAAATAATTTGTTACATTCTATAGAATAAAAAATAATTACTTGCACTCTATGAGATTATAATCAATTGGAGATTTTTCTTTTTCTTCTTCAGTATTCTCCTCTTGATGTGATGATAAAAAATCACAAAAATTATCCACCCAATCCTCAATTTCTTCATTAAATAATTGTGAATTTAAATCATTTTTGCCTCTAATTGAGACAAGAAGCTCTAATGTTGCCCAAAAACTTCCACAATGAGACATAATTCGTTTTTTGTGTTAAAGAATTAAAAAAAAAAAACAAATAACTTCTTTTTAAAAAAATAAAAATTAGTACTTTCTTGAAAAAATTCAAAACAAAAATTTAAAAAATATATTCACACCATTTATTTAACACTTGATTCACTTCGTAAAATTCTAAACAATTTACTATATTTGTAAATATAGGAAATTTTTTAATTCTAAATTGGTGAAAAAAAAATGACTGATTAAAATCGTTCTTTTTTTAACAAGGTGTTAACAAATCCTTTCATAGTATCACTTCCGTTCTTTTAATTTCTTTGCTAAAAGTTAATGAAAAGTTTTCAAATTAAAAAGATAATTTTATATAAAAAGGAAAAAAGGAAGAGAGAGAGAGAGTGTGTGGGTGTGTGTGTGTTATCGGTTAAATTAGACGCACAGTATTAGAAACATAGTTGAACTCTGAAAACGCAAAGGGTATAAAACTTGTTCGCGAGGTGGGAGTTTAGAGTATAACTTTCTAGACAGGCAATTTTGTAATAGTATGGAGAACCTTCAACCCTCTTTTTGGTTCATGTCACCCCTACAAACACGCGATCATAATTTTTTATCCCATATTTTAACAAAAGGTAAAAGTTGCCGCCTTTTTTTATTGCGGCTAATCAATAAATCTATAGAAACCAGTATATAGAATTATCACTTAATCATTTTCCACTCGACACTCCAAAAGTTTATGGATTATATTTAAATTAATAAACTTCGAGGCCAAATAATATAAATAATATATTATTTAATTTTTTAAAAAATATTTTCAACATTATTTGTTTACTTACGCATATTTTATTGGTTCACTTTCCCACCATTTCAAAGGAGTTTCATGTGGATCTGTTAGGGAATTCCTAATTACTTCCCTAACTTGAATATCACTTATTCTTCTTTTTCTTCTTTTAGGCATTTTGGAAAATTTTACACAATTACCATTTTCCTCTTGTATTTCTGGTTTATTTTTAGAAATTTTTCTCTCATTATTATTATTATTATTATTAATAGTATTCATTTTTGAATAATTTTTCATTACTGAATTAATAGACAAATTTTGTATTTAAAATTTCCAATAATTGTGACTAAAATTTTGTGGCTTATTAACCTCATTTAAAAGTATGTCAGAATTTTTATTGTTAAATGAGAGGAAACCGTCTTTTATTTCTTTCGAATGTCAAAATAATTGTAAAAAATGTAAATATGTTTTTAATTTTTCTTTATTACGAATTAAAAATTTTCAATTGCAATTTTTAACATTCTTAAAGTTACATTCTCTTAAACTATTAACTTATTAACTATACTTATAACTAATAAATTAATATGTAAATTATACAATTTTATAAAATTTATTTTAATAAAAAAATCAAAACTCTATAAAAATTATTGTCAAAAAAAAAAATTGTTTCTAAAATTTCAATTGCATTAGAATTTTGTAACATGAACTCCATTAATTATTGAATTAACGGAAAATTTTCTAGCTTTGAGAACGAATTTTTTCCATTCTGTTCGATTTTCCATATCACCTGGTCCCCATGATTCCGATGGATTTGTCCCAAGGATTAAATTCTCCTTAAAAGAACCCTTTTTGCAAAAAAGATAGTAAATCATATATCCAGGAATGCAGATCATACTAATTAAACAGGATCCCCATCCAAGTCCAATAGCCCATTCGGGATATTCAATTCCATTGTAACTTACTCTTGTATTAAAAATAATTGTCGTAATGAAAATAAACTAAAAGAATCATATATTTTTTTAAATTTTTATTAATTATTAAAATTGACTACGAATATTTATTATTAAAAAATAATTATTATAAAAGTAAAAATTACTATACTGGGATTGGTAAGAATTATCATATAATTTTTTAAACTCACTGATAATATTGAAGGTGTAATATATTTCCAACAGAGGGGCCACCAAAAGTGAAGTTTTTCTCCAATCATAAATTCCACATCTCTCACGAAATTTTCACAACCTTCAAGAGTAATAAAACAAGTAATTTAGTCTTTTTAAAGTATAAATTAAAGTAATAAAACATCAATACTTGATAAAATATTGTTTTTGAATAAAATTTCAAAATTAGAATATTTATCATTTTTTTAAAAAACTAACTAACTATAATAAACTCTTTTTAAAAATAATAATGTTTAACTTACCATAAGTCCATCCGACGATTAACACTTCGACGAAGCAAATTAACATAACAGAAATAGAGGCTGCATACCAATCGAACAATTGTAGAATGTACATTCCACCCTAATTGATAAAATACAATTAAAAATTTTGCATCAGGACAATTTTATACAAATAATAAATGAAATTTTATAAAGTCAGAATAATTTACTATTTTTATCAACTTCTTATATATATGTATAACTGAATGATTTGCAATATAGTAGAATTAATTTAAATAAATTTTCTTAAACAAACTTACATTGGTAACAAAAATAATTGATCCCAAAAACATTATGAATATTGAAACTGCCGTCACTCGATGTTTATGATTCCTCAATTTTGGATAGGCATCAGTTACACTAGAAATAATGGCCTCTATTTGTACAAACTGTAAAAAAGACTAACTTGAAGAACATTTTTTATACTATATACTTAAAAAAACAATTTATGATAAAAAATTGCGTTAAATTAACAAAGAAAATAATTTTTAAAAAAAATTCTTACGCAACTATCCATTCCAAGTAAATAAAGCATCAAGAAGAATAAAATTGCCCATAGTTGAGGAAATGGAAGCATTGTAATTGCCTCCGGATATGTGACAAATGCCAGTCCAGGACCTTTTTTGAAAAATACAATTTATTTAATAATCAATATATTAATTAATTAATCATTTTTAATATTTTAGTATTAGTTTAGAAAAATTATTGTTTAACAATCGTATTTTTATTATTTGTTTCAGATTGCCATTTTCAATTTAGAGAAAAATAATAAGTTGATAATTTCTTTTATTCAATTTTTGAGAGAGAGAGAGAGAGAGAGAAAGAGAGAGAGAGGGAGACAAAAAAGAGTGAGTACTGTTTTATTAAAAAGAGAAATTTTTTCGTTAATTTTAGAAATAAAAATAATTTTTTTAAAAAAAACCCTCACCGCCGGTTGCAACACTTGAAACCGGAAGTCCTGTTTTGTAGGACATAAATCCAAGAATTGAAAAAACAACAAAACCAGCAAAAATGCTTGTCCCACAATTCAGAATTGGTACAAAGATGGAGTCCCTAAATTTTACAATTTGCAAATAATTAAAATTTAAATAAATAAATATAATAAGAAATCACAATTAATTTTAAAATTAAAAAAAAAATTATAAGGAAAATTTAAATAAATTAAAATTTTCTTTAATTTTAATTTTCTTTAAATTTAATTAATTAAAAATAAAATTGTAAAAAAATAGTAGTAAACGATAAAAAAAATAAGTTACATACATTCGATTGTTGTTCTTGAAAGGATTGTAACTTGCCATATTGACAATTCCACCCCATCCTGGACCAAGTGAGAAAAATATTTGAATCGCTGCGTCCGCCCAAACCTGAAAATTATATTTTCCCTAAACATTAGTTAATATTAATTTTCGAAAGATTTACAAAAATATAATAAAATAATTTGATATTTTAATAAAAAATGCTAAAAAATAGAAAAAAATCAACTCCGACGAGAATCGAACTCTCGCCGTAGGATTTACAAGTCAAATACATTACCACTGAGCTGAAATATAACTTTTTTTTAGTCTATAAAATTTTTTATTTTTTTAATCACCTTAAGATTTGTTAATTGTGACCATTCGGGAGAAATGTAGAATAAAATTCCGTCCATTGCACCCGGAAGTGTGATTCCTCTTATGAGGAGAACGAAAAGAATTACAAAGGGAAAAGTTGCAGTGAAATAAACCACCTGTAATGAAATATTATTTATTTTTATTTATCTTTTTATTGGAAAAATTTATTTTAAAAAAGTAAAAAATAATAACAATTTTTTGTTTGCGTTTTCTACCTTGCCGACGGTTTTTACACCATTACAAATGCAAAGATAAACAATAATCCACGATATTAGATTGCAAATAAAAACTGGCCACACAATTCCTCCAATTTCATTAATTCCACTTGATATCTGCAGAATTTCGTTACTAAAATGCAATTTATTTTTTTTTTTTTAATTTTTAGGTCATGATATTCTTTTTTTTGAATATAGTAAAAGTCAAAATCTTACTGAAAAAATTCATCTGCAGGTGTTGTTGCTTTTAAATTTCCTAGTTGACTAGTTGCGTTCCTGTGAACTTGAATATCACCACCTAACTATAAAAATAGACGAATAAAATTATACAAGGTGTCTAAAAAGTTTTAGCTATTTAATTATTACTATTTTTTTTTTTTTTAAACAAATTGGTAACAAACTTTTAGGCAGTTTTCAGTATTCCACGAATGGTCACAATCGCTCCAAGGTAATTTATTTTTAATTGACATTGCCATAAATAATAGTGGGTAGGCAATTATCACATTATAGTACATTGTGCAAATTAGATTTACTATGACGATTGCAAAACCTGCCCCTGAAATAAAAATATCAAAATTAGATTAACAATCAGTAAGATATCCAGTTGGGGTAAAATATCACTATAATAGGGTAAATTATATCTCAAAGTTGTGGTAATGCAATTTTATTTATAATATACTTCATCAAGCTTTAGCGTACGCCTAAAAAAATGTGATATTTTTTCTTTTTTCTCCTCTAACCCATAAAAAAAATACTAACCTTTAAAAATGGGACTCATTCGAAAAAGTGTTATGCAACCGGTACTACCAAATTGTCCCATAGATGATTCCATAAAAAATAGTGGAATGCCGCAAAAGAAAAGCATTATTAAATATGGTACTAGAAAAGCTCCTAAAATTAAAAAAAAAATGACAATTTTTTTCTTAATATAACAATATTATTAAAATATTAAAATTGAACATTCTAAATATGATATATTTATAAGGTCAAGGGAAGAATGAATGATTAATAGATAAATGATTTCAATAATCCTTTTTTTTTAAGATATGAAAATTGAAATATACTTTATCTCATTAAATATTATGTCGTCATAAAAAATAACCCACTTTTATTTAATAAAAGAGTAATTCACAGTAATAAATAGCTTTTTAATGAAATTAAATAGCTAAATATTATTATCACTTATTGTTATGTGTTTGTTTTATTTTTAGATACATTTGTTTCAATCATATACTTTAAACGCAGCTGCCAGATGCTGTTATATATATATATATATTTAAAAAAAATTTTCCTTCTTTTAATTTCTAAAATTTTTTTTCAATTTTTCAAATTCGAGTATGAATGAGAATAATTGTTTTACCTCCTCCATTTCTATAACATAAATAAGGAAATCTCCAAACATTTCCTATTCCAATTGCATATCCGGCGCATGACAATAAAAATTCCGTTTTACTCGCCCAATTTCCTCTCTCAGGCTCGGAATTTGTATCCACCGTTGTCTTGTCGATTAATAAATTAATCTTTGTCGTTTCGTTGCCGTGATAATTTTCACTTGAAATTTGTTCATCTTGATGCTCGTTGTGCATTTTAGAAATGCTACCAAAAATTCACAAAAGTTAATTGTATTGTTAAGAAAAAATATTACCAATTTTTTTTAAGTTAAATAAACATTAATTTTTTATTTAATTCAATCGCTTGTCAAATTTTACAAAGCCAGTATCAGTATCACAGTATGGTGAAATTTACATTCCACTATATGGTATACTGGAAAGTAATTTTTACCATATTGATATCTAAAGTTTTATAATTGGTATGGTAAAATTTACACATTCTACTACAAAATATATTGAAAAGTAAATTTTACAATACTGTTTTGTAAAATTTTATATAAGTGCCTTATAACTGTAAAGTTTGGCAAAATTTCCCTTCCACTATATATTCTATAGTAAAATTTATTTAAACCATTATTATTAATCTGTAGTAGATGGTAAATTTTATTCGACTAATTTGATAATTATTAATTTTTTATTGTTACAAAGTATATAAAAATACAATTGAAATTACTATTTATGCTTAATTTTTTTCAAATTTATTAAAAATTTGTTAAATTTTTTATTATTTTATTTCACATTTTCTTTGATATATTCACTAGAATTTTGAATTTTTTATGTTTGAAAATTGTCTTTTAAAGCTTTTTTTTTTCTTTTTGATATCTTACATTTATCATTGGTTACTTCACCTGCGGTTTGCATAGCATTATTATTAGTTATAAGGGACGGCGACTGTGATTGTATAAGGAAGTAGGTTATATGACGAATTGTCAAGAGTAATTTCCATTTCAACACATCTCTTGATTTTTAAAACCCACTTGAGAAATATTTGTGGCGCCAATATAAAAGAAAAAAATCTCAAACTTTTTTTTACAAGAAAAATTTCACTTTTATTTTGTTACATTATTTAATGTTCCTCTGTATTCAAATATTTTATTATTTTACTATTTTTTTATTTACCCTTTAATTTTTTTAACTATGCTATATAAATTATTATTAATTACTTAATAGGTATTGTAATATATTTTACAATAAATACAATATAGTTGATTAAAGTTTACCATACCATACAGCTTTTTAACAATTGATTGCTTACCAATTAATTAATAATTAATATTAAATTTTAATTAAATAAATAGTTATATTATTCATTTTAAAAAAGTATTTACTAATTTATATTATATTCAATTATTATTAAAGAAAACATTATTATTATTATTCTTTTGACTATTAAAATTTACAACTATTATTTTTATATCAAATGTTTTCTTACCTTTTTTCTTTAAAAAATAAAAATAATAAAACACTTAAAAATTTTGAGAAATAAATTTTCAGTCACACGAAACCATCCATAGTTTTTTGAATCTTTGTTTACAAATTGTAATAAAAAATGGTGATATATATATATATATATATATATATTTTTACTGTTTTTTTTTTCTAATGGTCAGGATCTTCTGGACCATTTGAATGACAGTCCTCAACTGCCCTCCATATACACATCATGTAATCACTACGCTGACGAGAGGTACGACATATATAAATAGAATAACGTGATTGCAGTGATTATGATGATAGCAGGCTAAATTTCGACTCATCCCAATAAAGGGATGCACCTTTTTAAGTCACTTTTAAGAATCGTTTTTTTCTCTTTATTGTCTGAGAAACATAAAATTATTGTGCCCCATTAAAAAATCATTCATCTTTATTAAGTTATTTCATATTTTAAATTATTTTCTAGTTTTATTAAATAATTTTTATGTTTCGAAAAAAGTTTACATTAATTTCCTACATAATACCAAAAAGTTAATAGAGTGACAACATAAATATTACTGACATTTTTTACTAAAGTTTAAAAAAGTCACTAAAAAATTACTGGAGTGACAAAAAGGTTAAAGTTAAAAAAAAAATAACTAAAAAATTACTATAGTTATTAAAGTCTCGTGTAATTACATAGAAATGAAAATTTCTTTCTCTGGAACAATTTCTTACTAAATAATATTAATTTAATCAATAATTGTACAAGTCTCAGTTGATAAAAAAATTGAATATAATTTTTGATAAGGTAGGAATTATTTTAAACAAACTCGTAGGTACCATTTGATGAAATTATTATTCTCAATCGATAAAAGATTTTGTTTTTGTTTTAGAAAATTTCTGCTTTATCAGAGAAATAAACATGTGTACTATTTTTTTTTATCAACGGAGATTTATAATATTGATTTCTTTTGATTTTAAGCTTACAGAATTGTACGCTACAGTTTCATTTAGATAGCGTGAAAATATAATAAATCAATATTTATTTAAAAAAAGAAATTTTAAATAAATATAATATTTTGTAGGAATATTACACTTTTTTTTTGTTTCTGTTTTATATAAGATTTAAATCATTTTCCCACTAAAATTATTATCTGTAACAAAAAATTTATCAGAATTTTAAAGTAAAAATGTTTATAAATATATATATATTTAATAAATTTGACTTACACTTATGAGGGAGAGGATGCTCCAGCCTGGTGCATGCACTCTTCATAGGTATTATAACCAAAAATCATAATTTTAAAATTTTCTATTTCATCATTATCCATTGATGTTTGCGTTTCACAATCATTAACGGATTTATTAAACATATACTTTAGTTTTTCTGTATACATAAAATGTAATTAATTTAATTTAAATTCATTATAATTAATTAAAAATTAAAATAAAAAAATTTTGTTTAAAATTTGGAAAAAACGAAATTTATATATACCTTTATAAATAATATTAGGTGGGAAAAGATATGGAAAAGTAGATACGTTTTCTATCCACAAAATAGCGCAAAATATAAAAAGACAAAGACTTAATTTTTTACTCATGATTGTGAAAAAAAAATTTTCTGGACTATTTTTATTATAAAATATATGGCAATGTCTCACTTAAATTGTAATGATTAACTACAAAACTGGATATATCGTATTTTATATAAAATTTTCTTATCTGTCAGATGTTTACTTTCTTTAAATTCGAAATAATCACATTGTATAAAGAATATTAGACGAGAGTTATATGAATAATAGAAATTAATATTAAATTTACAGTTAATGTATATAAAAAAATTACAATATCATTTAAATTTTAAAAAATATAGATAAATGTATTTTTTTCATTATTTTACTATTATATAAGTAAAGTTCATTGCCTTCAATCTACATAGAGAATAAGTAAAATTACCATTTTTTTATTTACATTAAAATAAGCCAATATAATTTATTTAATATAACGATGAAAATAATAAATTATTAATAATAATAAATTAAATCGACGAGAATAATAATTTATTCGATTCAGATACTTTTGAATTTGTTATTTGAAAAATACCTACCTTATCGGAAAAAATGCAATAAAATCTGTTATCAACTGAGACTTGCATAATATTGATTTATTTCATCTCGAGCTTTGAAGATTATACGTATAAGTTTTTAGCAAAGAGCATAAATACATTTTGAAATTCTAGTAAAATTGTTAGTAACATTTTGTAACTCTAGTATAACTTTTGTTGTCACTCTAGTTCATTTTATCAAAAAATATTTGTTAATTAATATTAAAAATTGTAATAAAAAAAATTTTTTAATTTGGAATTTCTTATTTTTTTTTTTTTGAAATTTAAATAAAAAAATCTGACTGGTCAAGAGTTTACATTATCTAAAGTACTTATGTACTTGGATTTAAAAAAGTAGTACGCGATCAGTCTCGAACATTTATATGTGTATATAATCTTTACGGATCAAAATGAAATTATTTCGCGTAATACCCTGTTAAAAAGCGATAAACGACGAGAGGGATTTTCCCGTTTAAAGTAGCTTATTAGTATTCGACTCTAAATAAATCCATTTGGACAAAAAAATAGTCAATAATAATAATAAAAGAAAAAAAAAAATTTTTATTTAAACGCTCTTTTTTAAAAAAGAAATTTTTTATTTAAATAAAGAATTATTCAAAATTATTATTTTGGTATTATAATAATTCACTAATTCGAATTCTGGTTTGTGAGTTTAAAAAAATCTACATATATGATTATAAAGTATCTGCTTTATATATATATATATATATATATACATGAATTCATTAAATACATGAAACATGAGCCAAATAATTCACCAAACCAATCTGATGGCAATAATTCTTTTTTTTAGTATCCCCGATCTCTCATAAATAGAAAAATAAAATTCGATTCTTTTGATATAATAAGTCACCCAAATATAAATGTACGTGTAAAATAATTTTTTTTTGTAAACTTATCGGTTTTTTCCAATTACAAAAAAAAAATATATCCGAAATTCAAAATACATTGAAATATTTTTCAATACAATAAATTCATGAAGTAAAGGAACTTGTCCCCCTACTAACCTTTTTGTAACTAGTTTCGTCACTTGTAATTTTTTGTCACGCCATTCTAGTAATTTTTATCACTAGTAACTTTCTGTTATTTCTAGTAATTTTTTTTGTTACTCTAGTAACTTTTGATTTTTAGTAACCTTTTTGTCACTGTAGGAAATGAATAGATTTATTGGAACATTAAAATTGTTTAATAAAAGTAGAAAATAATTAACGCGGGAATTTAACAATATGGTTATAGATGCTTAATGGTCAATTTCGGAATGCTGGACAGTATGGGTCATTCTGTGTGGGTATGAATTATAGAGAAGCAACCCGAGTAGTTCACACGTTTATCAGGCCCTTTTGATCGGTTCTCCAGCAAGGTTTGAAACCAATTCTATGTACTTCCCACCACCTTATTTATATATATAGAAAATGCAATTTTATCCAGTGGCAGTGTAACAATAATAATAATTCCAAAATTTAAAATAGTGAATTTTTTTCTGAAAAATTATCACCAATTAAAAATCGTTGAAATTATTCAGTATATACAAAATCCTTTATAATCAACTGATCTTATATGATGTAATCAAAATACATAGTAAGCCAATAATCCTCTCGAAATCTGTAATAGTTATCTCAACCACTATATCAACAGTTTATTCTCAATGTGTCAATAAAAAAAAATCCAAATCCTGAAACTTAACTTTCGAAGCTCACAATCTGATGATGCTAGTATTAGGCGATGAAGTACTAGAGAGAAAGAGTGCGAGAGTATTAGGGGTACGATGAGAAAACAGGATCAAGATAATGTCTTAAAAAAAAAGCGTCAGAGTCAAAAGCCAAGGGATAGAGAGAGGGCGATAAAAATCGTATATGGAGCCAATTTCCGAACATTTTCACGTCGTGATTTGTCCATTTGAGAGGTAGTAGAGAGAAAGAGAGAGAGAATGATTTTTCCAAAGTTAGAGAAATATTACCCTTCACGATTTTGGACCAGATCGGATCAGAAGAGACAATTCATCCAGTTGTGGCGAACACAGGACAGGCGTGGCACCGTTTGGAAAATCTGCGGCTTGTTGAGTCACACACATAAAAAAACCCAAAAAAAAAAAAAAAAAAAAAAGTGATAGGTTAGAGGGTGATGAGGTGAGGGATCGTTTAGGGATGAGAGAGATAGATAGAAAGCGAAAAAAAGTCAACGAGCAGAAATCGACAGTCAGTGAATCTAGATAAGTGGGAGTTACCATAGAAAAGGGGGGAAGGTGTATTTAGGAGAAAGAATTGTAAGAATGAAAGTGGGGGGAGGGGGCGGATTTCAAACCCTTAAAAGTCACAAGAGGATGAGCAAAAAAAAACACTCGACTGCAGTTTCTTTTTCGTAGCTACTACTACTACTACTTCTGGACGACTTGCTGACGTTGGAACCATTATTTGTCGGATGTTACGCCTGTTACTGAGGTCGCTTTGGAATACGTTAAGATCCGAGAAGGAGATGTCGATTGAACCCGCAAATGGCTTTTCGAGACCAACGCAAGGAGAGAACACGACAATCGTAACCAGATCGAAAAGGGATTTTGGCGGTATTGAGAGGGGGGTGGGGAGGGGTTAAGTCTTTCGTGTGAGAAATTGAGTCAATTTCATTTTTATCCCCTAGAGACAAAAACACCCTAAAAAAAAAATGAAACTGTTAAAGAAGATAATTTATTAATGGATCAAGTATTATTGCAAGAAATTGCAGTTAGTTCTTTTTTGTATTTGCTATTTGTTCTAATTTGTACGTTTTGGTTAAAAAATATTGGGCATTAATTGAAAGGACAATTATATCAATTATATCGGATATATATATATATATTTGGGAAAAGCGTGAAGTTATATTATCTATATATATATATTTTATAAAGCGCTTCACGCTTTAAGCGAAAGGACGTGTATAGACAGCAAAACTGTCTACTAACGAGCGACAGACGATATCGTTCATCTTTTGTCCCGCTTTAATTATGCTCCACTAATTATGCCTAGCCAGTAATTACTATCATGTTACCGGAGACTGCTGCCCAAGGGGATACATCTCGTGATAATAATGGGCGGCTTGTTCTGCCAGATCCATTCTATTTTATATGCACACGCAATTTCAATTCAAAATTTATCTAAAATAATTCAAAAATTATATACCAACTATACTATAACTATTATTATTATTCCCCCTATAGTACATTATAGCTGATTGTGCGAGTATATTTTCATAAAAAATCTTTAAAAGCCACAAAAAAAAATTTTATCCATCCATGCATTATATTTATAGTATAATCAGTTATTAGTGATCAAATATCTGTTTAATAAACATTCTGTTTCTAAATTAAAATATAAAATTTTTTTTAAGCTATAAACATTTACATCCTCAATGAATAATGAAATATAAATCTCTCAATAAAATAAATTGAAATTGCTCGGTACACATCCTTGAAACATTTAAGGGGTTCTGGGACGTGAGCAGGGGACAATGTTGTGGGTGGTACAAAATTTGTGTATATATGTGTGTATGTATGTGTGAGTGTGTGTAAAGCTAGGGTAATTTATTATGGGGTGTACATTCCCTACTAAATAAGGGTGGCCCCAAATCAGCCTTCCGTAGTCCGCGAATTGTTTGCTACCCCCTTCCCCCACCTCCATTTTACCCCTTCTCTGCTTCTCAATCTCGTTTCACTGACTTTCCTCATTTATTCCCCCTCTCTTTTGCAAAATCGTTTCACAGGAAGATTGGAAAGAGTATAACAGAGAGGGAAAGAGAAAAGACAAAATGCATTCTCTTTTGCTCTCTCTCTCTCTCTCTCTCTCTCTCTCTCTCTCTCTCTCTCTCTCTCTCTCTCTCTCTCTCTCTCTCTCTCTCTCTCTCTAATGTTATTCCGGATTTGGATTAAACCGTGTACTTCTGCTCCGCATTTGCAATCAAATACCTTCGCCTCTACACTAAACGAGACGACCGTTTTATCGACGAAGGGGTAGAAAAAACCGAAAAATTTTCAATGGACCTTGTTACCAATGGGGATCCGATTGTTAAATTGTTTACTGCTACGTTTCTAATTGATATTTAGAGGTAAAATACTTTTCGATTCGAAGAGGAGAATTGTTCCCATATTGCTATAGGGAGATTAAAATTAGCAATCCTGTTTTAAAAGACTTTTTTTTCTTGAAATACGAATTTTTACTTTTGAAATATAATTAATTAATACAATTATTAATTAAAGAGAAGTTTTAAATATTCTTAATTCCATTGATAATTATGACCACATTAAAAAAAATCACCTCCAGGAAGAATTGAACCCTGGGCTTCGAATTGATACGACCTCCACTTTATTGCTAGACTAGTGATACATTTGAGAAAATTTTTCAACTAGCATTTCTTTTTGGTCAATATTTGAAATTAAATTCAGCGTAAATAATTCATTAATTTAAATTTTCTTTCTTTCTTTTTTTTTAATTCTCAATCAATAAACATTAGTAGTATTTTTGTTTACCGATCGTAAAAAGATAAAAACAATGGATGATCCTTAAATTTTAATGTTTGCGATTTCGATGGGAAAGA